TTTGTAGATGTCTACCGCGACGGTTAGCAGCTGCTATCTTTTTGAATACAATGAATGACAAAACATAAAATTTTGTATTAATCATATTAATGTGACACACGGAAATGCAATTAAGTTTAATTAAATTGTCCGTTGATTAGAATCATAGCAGCTGCGAATTGTAGATAATGTGACCTTCTATGTTGGCCTTGGTATAAGCTTTTATTTTAATTAAGTAATTTGACCAGATAGTGTGTTCTAAGCTTAAGGGGCATAAAATAAAACAATATTTAAGAAAACTGTATAAAGTGATTTTATTGAGAATTCTCGTTATTTTTATATTATAACAACATGCAGAGCAATCAAATATTTTAATCTGAAACAATTCCTCTAAATAGCATTCTATGAAATATATTCAAAACTATGTTAGTATAATATTTCTGAATTGGTAGAAAAAAATGCTACATATTTTACGCAAAATTATGTTATTAAAATAATCCGAAACTTTACAAGTAACAATCTATTATTGTAAAAATATATTGCTTTTAAAAAGCAAGAATAAGCTTAAACACGAAAATACATGTAAAAGATGTATTATTATGTTGGGATTGGATAAGTGTGTAATACCACGGAACACGCTTCTTATACATGTTAAATAAATAGCTTTTATTTTGCAAAAGACTCTTTATATATTTTTATGTAAGTAGTCGAATGTATCTACATAGTCATAATCCGATAAATTATCTATAGATAATTGAGAACGAATTGTTTATCCAAGAAAGCTATTAAAAGTTGTTTACAAATAGAACTCAGGTTACTATAATCAATATAAATCATTAGAACATTTATTTTATTGTAATTAATAATATCTTATTATTTGTTAAAATATTTTTATCTGAGCAGGTACTATTTTTTGGCTGTCAAGTTTATATTTTTACTAGAAGCTTATTACATTACATGTAAAATACACATTTCGTGTGAAAATTTAGTCCTAAATAGTTTTTATAGTTAGTTAGTTTAGGTATCCTGGAGGGACAACTATTTATTTATGAGCAAATACAATATGTAATTGAAGAGGTTTAGTAAAGAGCAATTCAAACTGTGATAGGTATAATAAGTATTAAAAAGCTATGCTACGCTTTATTGGTCGGTTAATATAATCTAAAGAACACACACTATAGATTGGGAGTGCCTTTAATAAATTTAAAATCATCTAAGGTTCATGCTATGAAACTCTGGTAAAAACTTGATCCAAACTCAAACATAGAAGAGTTCCTTCTGTGATTGGTTTATTTTGAATATTTATTACGCTTTTACACTTACACGTTTTATCAGTTTTTCTACTAGTCTAACTTTTACGGTGGCTTTTTCTGTATATTCAAAAGACTGTAATTCTACTAACGTTATACCATTAAATCTGATTTTTATGTATAATATTTGGACAATAATTAGAAGTATTTTCCCCAACAGCCAGACAGTTTTGACAGTTCCAACTCCTTGAAAGACAGTTTTTTTAGGGTAGCTCCCAAAGCCACCACGACCCAAACTTCATAATTCACCAACATTATATCCTATATTGGGAGCATACGCTGACATAGGGGTGTCCACTTTGAAAAAACATCGATGTTTTTTTCGATTCGATATATCGTCACCGTCGTGGCAGAATTAAATAACTGACAAAACCAAAGTTGCGAGATATTCACGATTTTGTATTTTTTTTCGTTAAAAATGGCGATAACTTTTAAGGGTAATAATATTTTACTGTCGGTCTTTTGATATTTTATACAGCAGATTTACCTTTATTATTTCAATATTCTTCGATGATGTTACTTTGTATTATTTTAAATAAAAAAATAAAAATGTAATTATTTAGTTTTGCCACAACCGTATTTTACAAAAAAGTTGCAGTTATTTAGTTTTTGTATGTCACTTATTTAGTTTTACCACAGCCAAGGTATTACAAAAACGAATATTTCCATTGAATAAGTACACTTGTTTAATTTTGCCACACTTTTATTGACCTAAATGTTGATTTATTCATTTTATTTTATTTATTTTGTCAATGCAATTTTGGTCAAAATCTGTAAAATTGTTATATAATACTAGAATATACCGACTTATTTAATACTTATAAATGTTTAACAAATTGGTAGGGTAACCATAAACATCAGATTCCTATAACATTGAAATACAATTGAAAGAACCAACATCGAAATGAATATCAAAATTAAAATAATCCAATAACAATAAAACTGTAATAGGGATCTCTCCCTAGGGATCCATAGGGATCCCTTACCCTCAACGTCATGGCAGAACGACGTTCAATGTCTCTGCAGATCTCTGTTGACGCTAAGGCACATCGGCAGCTTAATAGACAGATATGGAAGTCCTTCCGACATGATGTTCGCAACTTTAATACAAATAGTATTAAAGAGACGATAGAGCGGAACCAAGGTTCCAAAGTGTTCGCAAGAGACTACTCTATTGGGCGAAGCTAGCTGACAAAGCTGAAAACTGCGGAAGTTAGTGTAACGTCAACAAAAGCCGAGGTTCTGGGTGAGATTGAAAAGTTTTATGGACTATATACCTCGACGAAGATATTATGGATATCAGCATTATCAGCCTATACGAGATTAGGATGGCTCTCAAACACCTACTCAATACTCAATAGTTTATTGCTTCCATAATGTAACATAAAATAACAACAAGGCAACGGGGGATGACGGAATAACCTCTGAGCTTCTGAACGCGGGTGGAACATCGATGTTAAAGTCAAGTCCTTCAGAGACTATTTAACTTCGTCTTACTCCAGGGAACAACGCCAGAGGCATGGAACAGAAGCGTGGTGGTACTCTTTTTTAAGAAAGGGGATAAAACCTTGCTGAAGAATTACTGACCAATCTCGCTTCTGAGTCATGTCTACAAGCTGTTTTCGAAAGTTATCACGAATGATCTCGCGCGTAGGGTCGATGACTTCCAGCCTCCCGAACAAGCCAGTTTCTGAAAAGTATCGGTACATATCGAGGTGCTGAAGTGCTTGTACACGCCACTATGTTGGTCCGAGTACAGGAGTGGAGTACGAGGGCGATTCCTCTGCAGCGAGGCATGAGGGAGATGTTATATCTCCGGATCTCCGAAACTATTCACCGCTGCATTCGAAGACGCTTTCAAACTCCTTGAATAGAAATGATTCGGCATAAACATCAACGACGAGTACATCACTCACCTTCGGTTTGCCGACGATATTGTGTGGTCATGGCAAAGTCATTGGAAGACCTCGGCATAATGCTCGAAGACCTTAATCTCCCAAAAGGTAGGTCTTCGGGTGAACAACACGGAAAAACGAAGCTTTTGTCGAATGTCTATGTTGCGTCCTACCCAGTTTCGGTTAGGAGCTCGAATCTCGAGATTGTTGACAAGTATGTCTACCTCGGACAAACGTTTCAGCTAGGTAGAGAAAGAGATCGAATCCAACTCGGCTGGGCAGCGTTCGGGAAATTACACAACTACTTCTAACTTCATCCAAAATATCTCAGTGCCTAAAGACGAAAATCTACAATCTGTATGTGTTACTACTGATGATATACGGCTCGGGAACACGGCCTCTTACTATAGGCCTTATAAATAAGCTCAAAGTTGCACAGCGTGCGCTTTGAAGAGGGTTATGCTCGGTTTTTCTGTACAAGAGACAAGGCAAATAGTACGCAGAACTGACAGACGATGGGGCAGCAAGGTTCTGGAGTGGAGGGCACGTACCGGAAAGCACAACGTGGACTTCATAAAGGTAGCAAGAAAGCACTGGATGCAGACCGCTACCAGCCGGTCATATTGGAAAACATTGGGGGAGACCTATGTTCGACAGTGGACGTCCTATATGGCTGAAATGATGATGACGATGAAGGTAACTATCCAGATTCACACATCTGAGTAATGAACATTGAAATTAAAAGTAACATTTAAAGTAATTTTACAAAAATGAAATAAATCAAAAACACAATTGTACGAGTATTTTGAAGCAATGTTTCGGATCGAGTTGTGGCTAGAGATGGGTTTCCACCCGGGTAAAAACCCACATGAGGGTAAAAACCCAATAAAAACCCGTTTCATTCCACCCGTGGGTGTTTTCACCGGGTGAAAACAAATAATTTTATAATTATTTCAATTGGTATCTTTTCTTTATTTTTATTGAATTTTTCTCATTTAAGTTTATTAATTAATAAGGGGTAGTATTTAAACGAGTGACTGTAAATTTATGTTGTAAGTGTCAAACATAATTAATGTGGGCTAAAGAATTACTAAGTGAGCGACTGAGTGCGAGTGACGAAAAATCAAAAGAACAGCAACTTACAAAAAAGAATTGAGTTCCTTAAAATACAAAATGAGAAGCTTCATAATATTTNCTGGACTAACATCAAAATCTTGAAATGCGTTCGTTAGAATTCCCTCGAAACCTATTTTCCATTTTTGCCGAATCTTCAGCTTCAGTTGCTGCATGGTTGTTGGATTATAAAAGTATACTCTATTCTTAAGGTAACACCACAAAAAGGAGTTTTCTAGAGTGAGATCAGGGCTTCCTGGTGGCCAGGATATGTCACCCCTGCCTAAAAATTTTTTTTTGTGGGAACGTGTCTCTTACCATCTAAATGCTCTCATTTGAAGTGTGACACGTAGCCCAATCTTGATGAAACCAAGTGCTCCTGTCATAGCCTTGCGAATCTTTCCACTTTGAAATCAAAAAGCTTTTCAGTATGCCAGTATAGCGCTCTCAAAAATTTATCCTTTCGATTCAACAAACCAATTAAGCAGGGGTGAAATTTAGTTGCCACTAAGAAGCCCTAATCTCATTCCAGCAGACTTCTTTTTGTGAGGTTACATTATGAGCAGAGTATACTCTAAAAATCCAAAAACTCTGCAGCATTCATCCATCCTGAATCTATTTCAAGGTAACTCTTACGAAAGTTTTCCATAATTTTTATGTATGTTGACTGAATGTTGTAAACGTCAAGGGAATCACATGTACGATGAAATTTAAAAAAGAAAGTAAATTTAAAGATAAATTGCATGAAATTTCCTTTAAGTTACAATGGTTAAAGTTTTACAAAAATTTACAGTTTTCGTTTCCTTACATTTTCAAAAGTGAACTTTCTTCTGGGCCACCCTGTACTTTGAATTAATTTATATTATTAGTTCTTGTAAAACTCTTGCACATTTAACTGGGTAAAAAACAGTCATGAAATCAAATATAAACAGTTATAAAATATGAACGTGACAGTTAATAGTTTGGATGCTACGAGTATGATTCTATAAATCCAATAGTAAGCAGTGCTCTACTTACAGCATAGTTGGCTCACATTCTCATACTCTACGTACTTACTGAAAATAATACAAATTAATTCTAATTTCAGGCTTTGAAGTTTCATAACGTGAAGAAAATATTACATTAATGATAAATAAAAAGAATGAACGGCTCTAATTACGAGTGTTTAGTGCATAGTTTGAAGGATTTCATTATGCCGCAAAGTTGTATACAGCTGTTGAACACGAAAACATTTATGTTACGTGTCAGAGTAATTTTGCGTCTCTATCGCACTCGAAGTTGGAAAAGTTTGCGTCTCTCTCCCGCGTGACGCAATGCGCTCGCGCAGTAATCCGCGGTGCATTCACTCGGACCGTAAACTGCGCGAGATCACAACGTAGGTAACATCATTTCTCTATAGTGACAACTGACAATCGATTATTTAGTTCGTGATCTACAAAAAAAGTTTATCTGTTTCATAACCGTGTCTAAAACGCCAGTGACGTGCACAGTGAATATTTGTGGCAATAAGAAATCTGCGCGAAGGTTAAAGTTTTGCAATGGACGCGACTAGTAAGTAAACTGGTTTTAATATTATGTTTAATCATCGTTTACCTAATCAAGCATTCAAAAACAGTGTTTTTCCATGTAGGTACATCGAAGATAGTTTGATGCGGTATACAATATTTCCTAATAAAAACCCAAACATCTTATATTAGGTATGTGGTAAAATATAATAACTATGCGGTACATTTAAAATTAACATTCTCAATTTTCTTTCAGGTGAATTTTTTCAATAAGAAACGTATGTTCTGGATATACAAGTATTCGGCATTTTAAATGAGAAAAGACGCTAATAATTATGTTATCTTTTTTTAATTAATGCATTATTAATGCTTAACAATTTGAAATGCTAATTAGAAAACTCATACCGAACGATAGAGCATCAATATTTTTCAGGCACCCGCATAACTTACTTAATAGTTTTCTTTTTAAATACAATACGTCCATGGATATTCTTGTGTATAGTTCTTTACAAATCTAAAAATAGTCATTTTAGAAACCTACGTAACTTTTGCCTAAACACATAAGAGATAACATCTTCCTTCTACATTTCTGTAAAAATGGTAATCCAGAAGTGATGTAACGCGCGTAATCAATAACTTCTCGGAGTTACAATAGTCCAAAAGTTAATAAGACTACCAAATCGTTAAGCAAAATCATCCAGCCTATCACTTTCGATTCTCGCAAAACCTTGTGAGTTACGCCCTAAATACTGCGTTCTTATTTCGACATAGCAGTTCATAATCGCTTCTTAGATTCAACCAAAACCTCAGCTCATGGCCTCCACATGGAATTTAATTGATATTTGCCTTTGTCTCTAGCGCACTCATCTATTTTGCATCAACGTCTTTGTCTATATGACACTACATTCAAGGGCTGATGTAATAACAAGAAATAAGCTACATATCATTACCTTATATTATTATTACGTCTGCGTATCATTATTATAATTACGAGTATGATCGCAATTTTACAAGGGATTACCAAGTTTACAAGGGAATTGTTGTTAATCTATTCCAAAGTCTACTTCTATAGCAACTGTTTTTAAAAGTGTATCCGAGATATATCGTACCTATTTCAAGCGTGCACAAAACACAAGCAGAAATAGTTCTCTAAAGTTAAATAAGCGTTTAGAAACTCGTTACAAGTATAACTTTGTTCTTTACGATTAAAATTTCTCTTGACCTGAAATTGAATCGTTCGATTGTCTTTATAATTTTTTTGGTTTCCAACACTGCAATATAAAAATGTTTGGTGTTTATTAGTAACACCTTATGCAATAAAGCAACTTGCAGTCCAAGTGTTAATTGTAACAAAACTGGTAAAAAAACATTTTGAAATTGTTTGTGACTATTTTATGCATAATTTATTTCCTCCTAACCAAGGTTGAATTATTTTAGAAATCACAGAAAAGTATACCTAACTATTACTTTTCAATGTAGGCCCATGGCAAATCGTTAAATAAACAGTACCTTAATGATAATATTTCCAAATTTCAGTGGAAAACAAAATGGGTCTACCCCCACCGTACGAGCAGGCACATCCCAACCCGGCGCCTCCACCATCCTACTTTGGCAGTAACCCTCCACCACCACCGGGTATGGTCATCCCTCCGGCAACCGCTCCTCGAACCACCGTGATCACATCTCCACCTAGCTCCGGCCTAGCCCCAGGAAAACTGGGCCCAGGCCCCACAGGCACCACCTGCGTTACATGCAACAAATCCATAGTAACGCGAGTCGATTACGTACCCAACAATCGGACTCATATAATTTCTGCAGCGCTGTGCGTTCTGGCTGGGTGAGTTTATCAGTTTTCTTTTGTTAATTGTTCGCTGTGGTTGTATAAGTGGAATGCGTTTGTACTATTGTACCTAGTTATCATTTCAGCGAGATGAACTGCTATTAGTACATAAAGGCCCACTATAAAACTCCTCTTATAAAGAAATTGTGTTGATAGATACCGTGAGAAGTTTGGAAATGTTTTATCGTAAAATTAATCAGTGCAGTGTAATCAGAATAAACAATATCACAACTTTATCAGAAGTTCAAAAACCTTAATTCCTTAAAATATAGCAATATTTCTGAGATAGAATATTTATATTTAATGGAATGGAAATCCATAATTTCGTATTTAATGGAATAAGTACAATAAGCACGCAAGTTACATCACATGTAATTAAACAATGTGCAAAGAATCTAATAACTCAAGTTAATCAAACATTGTTTTAACGTATATTACAATATTGTTCTAATGCAATAACGTTATCAATGTTTTGATTTGATATCAATCGTCGACAGATGAACCAACTCTGTTGAAATCCCTACAGGTCACCGACGCAATCGGTCCTGATAAATGCGCATGAATACATACTCATTCTAGAATGACGTATTTGGTTGCCTCGATCGTAAATAAAAGCAAAGACTTCCATTTAAATGAGTACCATGTACAATAAAACATTCATGCAAAACTGACCACCCAAGTTGGCTCTACGTAGTTCTATACTACTAGCTAGTTACTTTGAAGTCATCGCTGTTCAAAAAATGAATTGATTGATGTGAATTAATTAGTTGAAGGACAGTCGACATCAAAAATATCTACAGAGAACTCAAATATTTAACTTAAGGTGTACTGGAACTGTTTATACGATAAATATACTAACTTTATACACGTTTGTATTGTAAAAATCCCGAACTTTGCAACAACTAAGTATTAAGAAATAATATTTTGAGCACTATAGTAAAACCCATTACTCACGTGTCAATCTTAACTTATATCAGATTTAAACCTGTGAATGGTAGAGTTAACTAACCACAGCCTTAAATATTGTTTTACGCTCGAATTTTAAGTGTCGTTTCATGATACGCCTAAAACTGTAATTTTTGCTGTCGACTGTACTATTTGCTAATGCACCAAGCAATGTCTTTGACGTACACACAACGAGTTGGCAACAGAATGCAAACCAAAGATGTCGAAACCATCAATATTCACTTAACGTGCCGGCCTAGACCGCCGAGAAACTTGTAGAGTTCAACAAAGATCAATCTTTCCGTCACGATCTGCTGAATATTTCCAGTTATTGTTGGTTACAAGATATTTTGAATTAGAAATTATACCTAGAAGACAAAAGCCTTACAAAAATTCAGAGAATTCTTGTGTAAACTCTATGTTATTTGAATTTAAGAGTAATGGGACCACAACTTCTTTTTTTTAGTTGAACATTTTAGAAAAGTTTGCCTACTTTGTAATTTTTTATTATTACACATAACATTAATTACTTATGACGATATCATTAACGTTAGTGCGTTAACTAAGCCGGATACTCAAATCGACGCTGCGTACCTACAAATTTCATAATTTAACAATTATTTCCGGGTAAAAACGTAGAGTCAATCACGTATTCACCTTGAAATTTATATGTATAGTAGTTTTGATGCTTCAGATATGATAGTCTTTTAATTTTAGTTTTAATTTAGGTATTTCAAGTTTAGTTACAATACGAGTGTTATCAAGCGTGAATTAACCTGGCTGTCCGAAAATAAATAAGGCTTTAGAGATACGTGATAGGGACGTAACGTCAGATTCCACAACTCATCCTACAAAAAAGTGTTTTTTTTTTTTCAGATGTTGTTGCGGCTGCTTCGTCCCCTACTGCATGAGGTCTTGTAAAACCGCCAACCACTACTGCCCGAACTGTCAAGCGTTCGTCGGGACGTACATTCCTTCGTGACTATCTTGTCGTTGCAAAAAATGATCTCGATTCGATCTCAGATGCTGTACCCACGTGTGACGTAACTCTGCCGGGCTAGGATGATGCGCACCGTGATAAAATCTTATCGATGATTTTTGACGACAAATGTATGGGCTTATCGCGTAAAATCGATAAAATGGTGCGAAAGAGCTTATCGCGGTGCGCATCCTAGGCCTACTGATCTTGTATGATTTGTCACATGCCTCAAGTAGGTACGTTTTGTGGCACATCATATACAATTTTGTAGCAAAATAGCTGTTATTACCACTACATAAGATGCCACAATGTTTAGCTTGATTTGTTGTCCTCTGTACTAAGCAAATACGAGTAGTCAAGATAGGTTGAAACACATCACTTATGTAGGTACAGCATCTAAGGCGTTTATAAAACATCACGTATAAAACATAGTAATATTTTTGTAAATATCTTTAGAGTATATTTTATTATTAAGTTTACCCCACATAATTATATGTCAAAATAAGAATGATTAAACCTTGTGGTTTAATTTCTATACATTTTTACAGATTACATTTTTTATAAAGAACTGATGATACTTTGCCCCTATATTTCTTGCCTTCTGGTAATGGAAACTTTTTCTATGGCAATTCAGTTATAGGTTTTCATTCTAAAAATTTAGATAGGTACGACTGAAAAACAAACTGGTGCGGCGTATTTGCGGAAAACGCGTTTGAGATCGTCTCAAAAGATAATAAATTAAAGATAAAAAATGCACGCTATAAGGTGATAAAATGATATTTTCAACTTATGTTTTCATATAGTGGTGTTTGTATACCTAGATAAGTAAGCATGTAATCGAACTCATTCTTCATTCAATGAATAAGCAGAGTATGTATTGTTATTTTAATATCAATAAAATGAGTGGACCAGTTCAAAGTACCTATGTAAGTAGGTATAATATTTTTTCAACTCAGTGGTGCCTCCATTTTCCCTATTGGCTTACCTACGTCAAAGTAGTCGTCATTGTAGAGTCATTAAACCTACCGCACTAGATTACTACCGTGATTTAACTTTTAAGTTGTTTAAAAAAATATTTATTTATAATTTTTGGTGTTATAAAATAATTTAGATTTTTTATTGATAAAATTTTCATTTTAATCATATAATTATTTTGTTAATATTCGAACATTCGTTGTTAATTCGACCGCACCGCTCACTCGTGAGCCTCGAACGATAAGTTTTGATTGTAACCAGTTTATCTGCAGTAAACTAAGTTCAGTTTATTTTATATAAATCATAAATGCAAAAAAAAACGAATACAATTGTGATGAAGTTCATTTACTCGACATTGTGGTACGAAAAACTTGTGCAGTCGACCTGAATTCCCGCCTAGATTGTAATAACCAACTTCTAGCATACTTGTAATCTCATTTTATACGGTACATCTATGTAAATAGTTAAAATAGTTATAAGTTTTTTGTAAAACTTATTAATTGTTAAGTATGCAAACGACTGTAAACGATTACAAGCTTTATGGAAAGGAAATAAAATATTTAAACTACAATCATATTTTTACTTTCATAGATGTTAAAAAACTATACACGGTAGATAGTCTACATGAAAAAAGATTTTCAGATATATGTAGGTATCTGCAAATCTAGGTATTATGTACGATTAATTACTATTCGACTCTATAATATTGTTTTCACTGCTGTTATACCTATCTGTTGGTAAAATACTTAAAAATAATAATATAAGTAGGTAGCCTGTACCTACTTTCCTAAACGTTTTTGATAAAACATAATTCTGTATAAATAAATATGTACTTTGCTTACTTCGGAGGGTACTGAATGAACTTAGGTTACTAAGTACTTGTATGTAGTAACAGACCTATTTTAAACTTAATAGAAAAATAATTTAAGTTTACTCAAATAATTGAAGTTCTAGTATAAACTCCAAGAAACTTCTTGCATCTTGGGCAATGGTGTTCCACATTTTTCCACCTTTTCACCAAATATGGTGCAATACAGCAACACAGCCACCTGGAAGGAATACGATTTGATTTAATTTTAAATAAGCACTTGAAACTGTTAGACAAGTAAGTAGTTGAAAATATTTTTATTTTTAAAATTTAACCATCACTTAACTATCAAAACATCGGTTATAAGCTATTGTAATTTCCAAGTGATTATACATTGTGAAAATGCGAACCTAAAGTAAATGAGCAGTGAGTGAGAGTTGTGAATTAAAATATCTAAAATCCATTACTATTCATGCACCATAACAAATGTAATGCAACTCGACTATAATAATGAGTCTTTACAATGGACTCTACCCAAAAATAGCACCAATAATGTACATTGGCCATCCTAATTAGGATAAATGGACAAAAGTCAGACGCACAAACGCAAAAAAATAATTGTACTGTACCAATCCGGTATATCAGTCCAAAAATCATATTGGTCAATCTTCGTATCAGAATCTAAAGAGCATGCAGTACCTACATTATTTGCGTAGCCTCGTAGCCTCCAAACCTACATAAGCTTTGAATTCGTCCATAACCCAGTAATCAAATACCGCCGCTGACACATATGATCGATGTAATGATGTAAATACCCATCAAAACGTAATAATACGAGCCAACAACAGGACATCCGTACTGTTTATTGGCACTGCCAACTTGCCAGTGATACGTAATTAAATTAGAATGTATGGATAAGTTGTTAGCGAAATAATAGATTCGCAACGGGAGAGCCTGAAAGTAAGTTCCTACTTACTTGTCTGTTGCCTGCCTTTGTTTACAACCAAAACCATCCCGCATACGTGAAAAATGAAAGGTAGGTAAGTAAGACACACAATAAATCGTATTTCTATCGTATCCTTAAATTCTTAATGGTTCAATAGTGTCTGACGCCCGTATTCACAAACATTACTATGATCACAGGGTCATACTAGGGCCACCAGTCACAGAGCTCTATTCAGCGCTGTGCGTTCGATTTGCTGCTTCACTTATAGCAAGCATCGTTTGTAAATACGGGTTAGTCTTACTTAACGATGCCAACGGGATGAGTGGAAATGATCTTATTCTACTATGCCGGAACAACCCTAATCTATTACCTAATTTACCACTTACCAAAAGAGGATTCCCATAATAACGGCAACAATATGCGTGATCCTTGCATTCTTGTATGAGGCCCTGGTCATGATATCTTCTTGGCAGTGGGGGCAGCGAATGCCCACTGGCTCAGAACCGACCTGTAGCAGGTCCAACTCTATCTCGCTCACATTGGAGCTCTGTCCAATCTGGTGATACGTGCTTGACTCCACTGGAAATTTTATTCGGATTAATTCGGAAAACCAAGGATAGTTTTCAGGAAAACAAACAAAATATGTTTCGTATTGTAGAGTTCAGATCAGTCAAGTTCTTCAGGCTTCCTGACCGTAGGTCATCTTCACAAATAGTGTGTCTCAGAAAACGTATCAAGGAGACTCCCGTTATATTATATTAGTCCAAATAAAATAACGCGAAAATGAATTGCATACTATCTATTTATTACCTTATGAGCACAGAATACTTGAAAAAAGGTAATTATGAACGCCTGCATAATATAGCTCTTTATTTTTACGGGGATACTTACTTTTGTGACTAATCTGTGAACTACACAAGATACCTACTTAAACACAAGAGTTTATGAGCCCTTGTCCGTCATTCTTACTAATTAGCACATCCTGTGCATGAGTGAGTTAAACGAATCCTTGACTATTCTATTAGGAGTAAAAACTTGCATTCTTAAATATTTTACTTTAATGATTTATTATTATAATATTTACTGACTTACTTTTTGTCATTTGCATAATGTTAGTACTTTACACTGTCACACATAAATACGTTATCACCACACCACGTCAGTGTTACGTACCTACTTATAACTTGGCAAAAAGTTATTTGTCTCTACCGCACTAAACTCCGTGTCAACTTCACTAACACACCGTGAAATAAGTATTAGTCGATAGTTTATTTGTTACTTGTAAATAATATTTCACAACTTTGTTTCATATAAAACTACTTGATACTACGAATGAGATCTTTATTGTGAGTAATAACGATAACACCGTCGATATTGAATAGATAACGTTTAGCATGTACTTAGTAGGTCATTTTGGTCGTCAGTAGGTAAGTACTAACCTAAACATCTGTTCACAAATAGATACTTTTATCAGATAATAAATTGTACTATAAATAAAACCAAGTAGTATATTTCACTGTAAGTGCAGCTCTATACCGATACATTACACCGTTCGCACCTGTAAGTAAGTAAATAGGCAAAGAATTAAAGCCAAATAAATAATACTGTATACTATAAATTTTATTAATTTAACATTAATGTGTTAATGAAATTTTCATTCCCTTGTTAATCTAATAATTTAGTACATACCTACTAATCCTACATTAAAGTTTACTCATAATGTGGTGTACTGGGTTCGATTCCAGTGGCTCAAAGAGAAGACAATACGACAGCAAATGAAACATATGCTATTACATATATTATATTATTAACCATGTTATTAACATTATAGACACAGAGAAAATAAGTAATTACTGCTTCGTGATTAATTCTAGGCATAAGTATTTAACTACTACGACGAGTATTTGGGTCATAAAAAATCTTGCTGTACCTATTTTATAAGTAGGTCATCATCATCATCATCATCTCAACCATAGCATAGGACGTTCACTGCTACACATAGGCCTCCTCCCCCAATGCTTTCCGTGCTATAAGTTGGTACTTAAAATAATTTATTAGCAATTAAATAGGTATTCGTTATTATTTTGAGATTGTCGGATCAGTCTATCGAACAGGGCGGGACATTTATTTATCTCTACAAAGACTTCTTGAAAATTAACTTAAATGTTTACTTACTGTAAATTATGATTGTTTTCATTTGTTTTCCTACGCTGATGCATATTTACGAATAGGTACGTAATGGTTAATAATCCACTATTAATATAAATATAAGGTACTAAACATTAATAAAAAAAATATTAAAAATTACAAATGCTATTCGCATTCGCTCTCACGGCTTCTCTTTCCCGCCAAGAAAAGAAGTTAAGTTTTTTTTTAAATGACAGTTCACGCAGTTTCGTTTAACAAAAATATTTCTGTGTGTATCATTCACTATACATTATTTGTCACCGCTAAGTATGTTTAAAGAAGTATAATAATATAATAGAGACAACGAAGTAATTGAATTTTTATAATAATTATAATAATAAAACATAACACTGGCTTTATTTATGTGAAAACCGAACGAAGCGAAGCCATATTTTTATTTAAAAAAGACTTCCAAACGTCAGTGTCACTGTCAAATCTGTCAAAGTCGTCAACTGAGCGAGCGAGCACGTAAATTTGGATTTGTGTTGATGTTGATTAAAAATATTCGCCAAAAATATATAATTTCATAAGGGGTATCGTATATAAATTAGAGCATAATATGTACTAAATCCCTACTAAAAAGTTATTTCGTAATTTGCAACAATGGACGTGGACTTACTCAGGCCGGGCACTGTGCCCATATCTCCTGACACTATTTTGTGGTTTGAATTCCTTCTTGACCCAAACCTTTTGAAGAAGCACCTTAGCAAGCCGAATCCAGGTAATTCCCGATATTATGCTTGAATATTAAGATGGAAAGTAACATAACCTTCTATGTAAACAACAGCTAAACTGTTTCTTTCGGAGCCGCCAAATCTGGTTATTTTCTATTTAGGTACTCATAGTAAAGTGACTTTTAACCATTTGTCTCAGTGGTAACACAAATTTTCTCCCACTTTCAGAACCATCAGCGTTTGATTTGATTGAAGAATTCTTGTCAGTTGACACAAAGAATCCCAATTCAAAACCAACAAGTGAGCGAGTGGTGGAACTCGATACACCTCCAAGTCCTGATGCATTAACAATTGCAACGCCAGTAGAATATTCCAGAAAACAACTTGCTCTTAAGATACTGGCACTAAAAATAGCATCTACCCTTCGCTGGAACTTAGGTCAGTATGTGTAATCTTATAGGGATCTTAAAAATATTGTTGTTTATTTTCTTTTCATCAAAAAATATACATAATTACTTCTCCAAAAAGTTGATCATTTAGTTTATATTTTAATGACTTGGTGTCACATGAAATGTATGTGCTATTCGTTATTGTTTTGTCCGCAGATATACTTGAAACAAAGCTGCCACCCCAAATTCAACAGCAACTCATGCAAGATCTGGTCTACATGGCCACTGATGGTTCCTTTTCTGTACCACCAACGGTAACTTACATTTTAATACACTTGTAGTTTGCTGATTTTTACCAGTTCCTTAAAATATCGTTTACAGTAAACCATATTGTCCATAACCATGTCAAACTTTAATTATTTCAGGAAATAAGTCAAAACCTCCTTCAGCAACCTCAAGTCCAATTTGCACTTACTTTATACCACAGATGGGTGCTAAGATTTCCAGTCAAATCTGCTCTGCATGCTAAGTCAAATAAGATGGCTTTCATGCATATGTAAGTAACAATGCAAGATCTTGACATTGATACGTGGGACACTATTTAAGTTGTGAGCCTAACTATGAAAACAAAGTAGTTTATTATTAAAATGGTATTGATTGCGTTTATTGGTATTGTCTTTCATGATTTATGTACTTTTTAATGTGTCCGAAACACTTTTCATAGCATTTTTTCCACTCAGCTTGAGGCACCTCCAAAGCATGGTTTTTGACCGCACCGACAGTTGCTTCTGGCTACATAAATCGCTGTTCACGCATTTAATTTTAATATATGGGTACCAAAAGAAGTGTTTAGATTCCAAGCAAGAATTTTGTAGCGTTGGACCTGTTTATTTCATATTTTGAGTGTTCAAATAGTCAGTTGTTTGACGAGACGTGTAAAAGCTCACATTTTCTTCCCGAATGGCGATTCGACTATGCTGGTCAGTTTCCCTTATTAAACTGAAGTCTTTTGAAAAAAAGTGGCTGTTTACTATTAAGAATTAACCATTCTAAATTTCTCTTGTGACGTTTCTGTCATATAATCGGATATTTCGGAAAAATAGGCGACCGTAAGTTTCTAAGTGTTCCGAGCGCATGGGACTTTTGTTGGAATTGGTTCATCTTAAAATACCTCCATATTTGATAGCTGTTTATTTTCAGGATCATTATGCATAGATCCTTAATTCGTCAACTGTCACAATTTTAAAAACGGCTTTTAAAGCTTTTTAAACGTATTTATCAAACATTTCCAAGGACTAAACGACACAAGCGTCCGATTGAGCGTTTGAAAAATTTTGTAACATCCAGCGAGAAAAAAACGTATTAACCATAATATGGTCATACAATATTTTATTACTGCTAGTGGAATTAATGCCTGGGATTATCTCAATCCTACGATATATCACATGACGAGGTTTCTCTTCCATTTTTCTGACAACATCAATGTTTTCCGCCACTATTAGTCATTTTGGACGACTTTCGCAAAGTTCACTGGTGAGCCAATGACATACAATATTATACTTCTTAAACTAGCGTTTTACAATGGTAAAGGACAGATATTTATCACCAAAAGTGAAATTTAGCTGACCGCTTCAGTTTTGTATTGATTAACCACGTCGAAAGTCATAATAAATCTTCGCACGAAAATTTCCGCAAGTCAATTCCATGTTTTTGTAGTCAAGATAATTTTCAATTCAATGTTAATAATACAAAACGTGCTCAAATGATAAAAAGTTTTGAATAAGGTTGTAGTCAAAAATGTCAAACTTTTCATTAAACGTATCAGATGTCGTCTAACAACACGTTATGTTGTCGAGGCTCACAACTTAAATAGTGCCCTAGTATTCTTACTACAGTACCCAGATTCCGATTTATAAAATTCTATTCATCCACAGGCCTGGGATTCAAGCTGACAGTGCATTTACTCCCCTAAATCAAAACTTTGAAAAAATTCTGAGGATGTCTGAAGTTTCCAGAATGCAAAGTATCAGATACTTGGAAGACATGCTAGCATTTTATGAAATACCACCAAATGCAGCTCGGAGAGAATCAAGGAAAATCAAAATACCAGACATGGAAACTTTTGTTACTCTTACCGAAGATGAAGATGACATGACTCATGATTGGAATGCAGGGGACATCATCATAAGCCAATATGAATTTGCCATGCAAATACACTATGACTTGTGCTATAACTACTTCTTTTATGGACAGCATGATATGGCAAGAAAACATAGTCTTGGCTGCAAGGAAAATTCAGCACTGCTGGAAAGAGAAGTTTCACTCTATGGCTACGGCCCACACAAGACTGTGCCTTGGGGAGAATTATATTATGCAAGCATGACTAAAGAAGAAATACTCGGTTACATAAGAGCTCTAAACCTTGGGCATGATGTGCTAAATGAAGAACCTTCCCTATTGCAAAAGCTTCAAGAATCGGTTGCAAACCACTACACTGGAATTATTGCAGTCTTACAGGCAGACAATCTTGCCAGAGAGATACCAATGGTACACAGGCAAGTTGTTGAACTGGATATTCAAGGATCTGCATCAAGTGGGGCCTTTACTGTGGCCAGGGACTTACTAAATAGAGTATCGGCGTTAAATGCGGTCCGATATGCGTTAGAAGGCGGAATCCCTTCCACTCATCCAGATTTTATCAATAAGTTTAAAATAGTTGGTATAAAATTCTTTGATCTTCTATTCTGGGCATTTGCTCCAGTGTTAATGTCTAATCTTTCTGAAGGGGACTGGAAAAACCTCAGGATATTTTTCCTCCATTTGGCGACGTCACAATGTAGAATTCCAATAGAAAGAATAGATGAGTATCTAAAGAAACATGTCGGCGAAGCGGCCGACAGCATTAGAAGAAAACTGATATCAGATGAACATTTGCGCACAATTTTAAATGATGCACTGAATAATGATGATGAGAACATGGAAATTCCTCAGGAATTGTTGACTGATGACTGGGAGACTCCAGATTTTGAGTGCAAGTCAGTGCCGGAATTGGAGATGGGTAGACTGAAGAAGCGGCTGATCGAAGCGTCGACAGCGGACGATGTGCGAATGTGTTTGGTTAAGTTAGCTATGATGTCGCCGGCGTCGCCTCTCTGGAAGTTGAGTCCGTCGTGGAAACCTGCGGGTGGGTTAGGGAATGCTTTAGTGTCTTTACCTAGAGGATTCTTACAAGATTTCGGATACGTAGTGTCTGGGGCCGCAAGAGCGCGTGCCGACGCTGGTTGCGCGCGAACCGCGCTATCCCTCCTCTCAGTATTAGAAGGCGAGGCCCGAAGCCAGCTCGGAGGTGGAAGCGATCCTAACCTGTACCGCCTTTGCCGGCAACTATCTTGGGAAGTTCTGCTGCTGCAAGTGAATGTGATGCTGAGCGAGTGGCCTCATCATCGATTGAATCTGTCTGCGTTGGCCAACAAGTGCAAAGCTTGTATTGCCGCTGCGAATTCAAACGATGGTATCGTTCCGCGACCTCAGGTAAATATTGTTTTTCCCTTGCAATCTCTGTAACCTTGATATCGTCGTCGAAAACCTCGTAAGGCGTTTTTACCACTCGCATTTAATGTAATAAGTAAGAAAACCTCTTAACGCACATTTTGAACTCACCTAAATTCGAATGGGATGATTGTAGTGCCACCTATCGCGTTCAATGAAATCCTCGTAAAATATTCAGGAGACGGTTTTTGTCTCTCCTGACAAAATTTGTTTTCGGTACTCCCGAGGTTTTCACTCGTCAACGATGATATGTCCATATTACCATCTATGTATATTTCCTTAGGTAATAGAAGCATGTTGGTGCTGCCTAGTGAATTCATGCGAGTGGGAGGGCGCGACGGCGGTGACCGGGCCCGGCGAACTTGCGGCGGCTTTATGCGCCGCGTGCATAGAGCTGCAGCGAGGCAAAGCTACTCGAAAATTCCCTAGACTGTTGTGGGACTATGGTGAGTGTACATCAATCGATTGTTTAAAAGTAATATCACAGGAATTGGAATACTATTTATGATATGAGAAAGTCGAGTTCAAGAGCACCAAAATGCAATAATAGTAAAGTAATAGTAAAATAATAACAAATTTCTTTTCTGCTCAACCCAAAGGTAAACTGGTCGAGAATGCTTTAGTGCATTAAGTTCAAATTTATTTTGGCATTAAAGTTATAAATAAATAAATAAAGCGATAAAAGAGATCATCATCACCATTTCAGCCATAGGACGTCCACTGCATAGGTCTCCCCCAATTCTTTTCATGTTGATCGATTGATAGCGGCCTGCGTCCAGCGCTTCCCTGCTACCATTATGATGTCGTCGGTCCACCTTGTAGGTGGACGTCCCACGCTACGTTTTCCGGTAAAAGAGATACACAGCTTTTGTTATACAGATTTTGATATGCCCTCTATACCCTGAATGTGTAACTTTAAAGGAACCTAGCTATTAAGATACTAATTCAGTAATCCTTGTTTTAATTTGCAGCATTATCAGTATACAGCAACGGCAACGCCGGCCCGGTGAAACGTAACGCAGGCGGCATGCCGTCTCATTCCCGCGACACCAACGTAACGGCCGAAGCGCGCAACGCTTTCAACGCTTTCCTCTCCACGCTTCGGGAACCAGTCGCGGTCAGCGTCATGCTATCCTTACTGGCCAAAATACACAACCTACTCATTGATGACGTGGCTAACGAACTAGTGGTCGAATACACTAACTTGTGGCCGACTACTATCTCAAATGTAAACAATTACAACGACAAGTTTGTCCTGGAGTCTCTGACGGATTTGCTCGAGAAATGCTTAACGCTGTACCCGTACAATACTTCGTGGTAAGTGTGATGTTATATTTACAACACAATTACAACTACAGTTTTTGGCGTATAATGTACTGTAGACACTTCAAAGATATGGCTTTCAAAATTTTAATTGCTGTACTTACACTCTTCTTTGACCAAAGCTAAATTGATAAAAAAATTGGTTCTTTATTTTCTTTTATCTATGTCTATACTATATAAACTAATATTATAAAATGCGAAAGTAACTCTGTCTGTCTGTCTGTCTGTCTCGCTTTCACGCCTAAACCACTGAACCGATCTTAAGTGATGAAATTCGGCATAGTTTGAGTCCCGGGAAAGGACATAGGATAGTTTTTATCCCGGTTTTTGAAACAGGGACGCGCGCGATAAAGTTTTTCTGTGACAAACAAAATTCCACGCGGGCGAAGCCGCGGGCGGAAAGCTAGTTATTAATAAGATTTCGCACAGTTACAACCGCTTGTAACTACATTTTTGTACGATATTTCTTCCCAGATTTTGTATTTAAATTCCTTCCCCAAATATAGCTAGCCCTACCACTATTACCACAAGTATTTCATCTGCAGGCTCCGCCTATACGGCGACGTGGAAATGTGCGGGAGTAGATGGAGCGCGGCGCTTCGCCGTTACCTCAGCAGCATGTCAGTGGGCACCTGGCACTTTGCCAAGCGCGCGCCAGACGAGCCGGGGCTCGCGCGGCGGGTCATCCGGTGTTGCCAGTCGCTGTCCGCCCCTACACAGGCCGCTGCGCTCTGCCAGTTGCCAGACGAACCGGAGTACGCGACGGCTTTCAAGTGCCTCGCGGAAAAGGTCAGTGTTACTTTTTTTTTTTTTGAACCATGGGCGTTTATCAATGTTTAGTGGGTAAATATGTTATTTGTTTTGCATCTGGTAACAATTTTTAAAGGGGGAAAACCCCTTTGATATTTTTCTGCACAAAGTTTATTAAAGGGGAATTACCGGTCAATATTATCACCTACCAATTCATACATATCTATACACGACGAATTATTTATATTAGAAACCTAATAATTTCTAAAAGAATTCAAAATACTTTACAAAAAGTCAATTCTCCACAAAAATTACCTTGTTAAAAATATTGAGCATAACTTCAGAGAAAATTTTATACCAAAACTACATGGTCAAAGATGGACTTAATTTCGAGTTTTATCTGTTTTTTAGAATCATACCTCTTACCTCTCGTAATCATATTCATCATTGTTACAATGACATTTCCAAGAAAACTCAAACCCATACATTTCTTCAATCTTTACCACAGACGAACAACGTAGCGGATGCAATGGACGCGTACTACGGTTGTCTATGGGACGGTACTCTCCTGGAAGTGGGCGTGGCCTTGCACGCGCGAAGGGGGGAGGGAGGGCGCCGCGCCCGCGCCACCAAAGCCGCCGGGGCCCTCGAACTAAACGCGAATAACAGCGAAGACATACAAAGAGAGGCCGCTGCTATCAGGAGAGCGAGACTTCTTAGGGCACTCACGAATCAGTATGTTGCGTAATAAGCGGATCAACTTTTAAGCTCATAGCAGACTTATCAACTCAGAAAGGGTTCAACACCGCATCGCCTTTCGCGCGCTGTCAATTGTGAAACAAAGAATACTGACCGCCACGAGTTGATACGGTCACGATCCCTTTCCGGGTTGATAAATGTGCGACGTCTTTAAAACAGGACACGGGTAAAATCGAATGGATGAATTTCAGAATAATGCTTTGTATTTCAAAAATGCTGAATAAAATGTCCAGACCCACTTAATGGCAAGTCGTTCTAACTAAAGATTCTCGTAAACAGCAAAAATAACTATGATAAACTTAAATCGCAAAAACAAGTTTGTGTACATTATGCGAGTACATATTTTACGTCTATTCAATGGTAATTGTCATCTTAATTATGTATAAAAATAACATAAAACTGATGCCTATGGTGATACATACATGAACACTAGTGTAAATTAAGGAAAACAATAAAAAATAATCTCAGGGAAACTATGTTTTATTTAATTTAAAGTAAGTAATAACAACATTACCATTGTAAGTACATAGTCATAGCAAACACATAAGCTATGAAAGTAATTTAATAACCGAACACTCAAGCGAGCACTTACAAAACATGTTTTAACACAGACTTCGTTTCTAATTAAATCGGAGTATTGTTATTATCATTGAAAGGACAATGACCAAAAGTGGTCCAAATATCCACCACCAATGAGACCTATATTGGCTTATAGTCCATTAAATAGAGATTAACTTTCAGTATGGGACGAAAAAAAAATAAGCTGTCAGTAAAAAGGTATGACTGTTTGAAAAATGTAGTAGTTTACGCGCTAATCTCTAGAACTACTGGTCTGATTTGAAAAATTCTTTTTATTATAGATAGCCCATTTATCAAGGATGGTTTTAAGATAAATAACATCACCCAACAACCAATAGGGGTGGAGCAGTAAAGACAAATGTCGTAAAAATGGGAAACATTATTCTAACAATTCTCACGCGTACAAAGTCGTAGGCATAACTAGTATAATATTTAATAAAGTTCATCTATAACCCCGCGCCACATGCGACATGACATAACATGCGTAGATTAGTCCAAAATGTGCAATGGATAGAATGATATCATGAACATTTTTCGGATAAAAAGGAAAAAAACAGACTTTTCATTCAGTCATAACTTTTTACTGACAGCATATTTTTGATTGCGGTTTGGTTATAATGAATCAGTATTTAGTAGACTATTTTACTTCATAGGTCTCGTTAGTGGTGGACATTTGGACCACACTCCATACATTTTTGGTCATTGTCCTTTAAGAAAATGAAACATTAGCTTTCCAGTATTTGTACATATTTGGCACATAGCTTAAAAAACTAGGTATAGTTCTTGCAACTCACGAAGGCGAGTGAGCTTACTTACTTTACTTTACTTATATAATTACTTGTGTGTGTACATGCACATAACGATATAGTCCAGTCATTATAGTAAGTTCACCTCGGAATTCGAGATACCCAGCTGTAAGTCTGTAAATACGTGTATATTGACACCCTAAAAGTTGTCTCAAAACCTACATATGGTAGGGTGTAAGCAACTATTAAACAAGGTCAACGGTCACAAAAATCGGTTTCTTGCGCTTTTTTTAGAAATATCTCATTTCCTATGGGTTTTTTGCTATTTGTATTTATTATCAATATTGTAGAATACTAAATTCTCTACAATTTTTTTTTAAATTTTTTTTTTATACGGTGAACCGTTTTCGAGATAGAGGGCGGAGAGCGCGCGGTCACTGCATAACTTCAGGTCAACTTAAGCGGTTTAGATTTTTCATACAAAAGGATTTTCCCGCTAATTCCCGTGGGAATTTCGGGAATTCCTTGCTGTTTACTTTTACTAAGGTACCTACATGCCAAATTTCAAGCGTCTAACTTCCGTTAAGCGTTTAGATTTTTCATACAAAAGGATTTTCCCGCTAATTCCTGTTCCCGTGGGAATTCCTAAGTATACTATAACCTGCCCAGGAGTATGAAGAATAATTGTACCAAGTTTCGTTAAAATCCGTCGAGTAGTTTTTGTTTCTATAAGGAACATACAGACGGACAGACAGACAGACATTTTACTGATTGCATTTTTGGCATCAGTATCGATCACTAATCACCCCCTGATAGTTATTTTGAAAATATATTTCATGTACAGAATTGACCTCTACAGATTTATTATAAGTACTAGCGGCCGCCCTCTATCTCGAAAACGGTTCACCGTATAAAAAAATTTTTTGAACAAAATTTGTAGATAATTTTTTATTCTACAATATTAATAATAAATACAAATAGCAAAAAACCCATAGGAAATGAGATATTTCCAAAAAAAGCGATTTTTGTGACCTTTGACCTTAAAATTTAATAGTTGCTTACACCCTACCATATGTAGGTTTTGAGACAACTTTTAGGGTGTCAATATACAAGTATTTACAGACTTACAGCTGGGTATCTCGAATTCCGAGATTCTTACCTAATTTAAGCTTAAATGACTGGACTAATAGTGTAATGTCTATCAAAACTTTTGACAAACGAAAGGTAGCGAGCGAGCCACTAAACATGTAAAGCTCATTCGCCTTCGTGAATTGTAACAACTTTATGAGGATCTAACTTATCCCTTTTCTAATAAGTACATTCTGGTTATACACTACTCGGATCCACTCTGATCTTATGATTAGAATTTAAACTATGTCTATCAAATACAAAAAATAGAAAATGCAAGAAAACACGCATATAATCGCGAGCAAAATACAAAAATAATCTTAATTAAAATGCAACATTAGCACATCATGTTCAGCAAGATTAAACAATATTGTACTTATTTATTTAATTAAATGTTAAGCAAATTCTTAAACTATGTATAGGTAAGTACTTATTACCTAGTCTTTAAAAAGTTTTTGGTACATATTTATCTACGATAAGTTCCGAGGTATTTGGCGCAGTTAGGGCAGTAGTGGTCCGCGTTCTTGGCAGACTCCCCGCAGTAGGGGATACAGCAGAGGAAGCAACTGGAAAAAATAATATCCGATTAAGTATACCTAAAAAAAACCGGGGCCATAATTCAATCAATCCATAATTTTTAAGTGACCCCTATGGTAACACATAACAGGAATTTTATTTATTTATTTCCAAGCTTAAGCCTATTTTTACAGAAATCCAATACAATAGACAAGCGAAATATGACAGGAACGCAACAATAGTAATTTAAGTAAATTAAATGAAAATATACAAATAAACCTAAGAATAACATAAATTAAAAAGCGTCATCTTTGTGAATTCACCCAGAGTACAATGAAACAAGTCAATCCGTTCAGCTAGTTTATTGAGGGTGTGCAGTGTGACCGTCAGCGCCGACCTGCTCTGCAGCTGCGTGCGCCCGCGCGGCACCGTCAGCAGCGGCGGCTGGCGGCGCCGCTCCACGTACCTGTCGGGCACGCAGAACCCTATCTTTCCCAATATCACCTCGTTAAGCACTTTACCTCTCATTACTTTGAATATATACAACGCCATTTTGTTTTCAAAGGGTCTTTTGTCTGCCTAGACCTTTACGTACCTACATTCTTTGAGTTGTTTGATCATTTCATCTAGTTACAAATTACTAATCATTGAAATGAACTACTCCCTCCTTAAATTCGGCCCCTAATGCAATCTACAATTTGGATACTTCGTGGCAAAGAGCTATTAAGAAACGAAACAAACTCAGCCACCGCACCGCCAATATCTATGCAAAACATTATTTGTTTTATTTATTGTAACGAAATCGACTACAAATTGAAGGAAGACGTTGAGTTGACTACTTACGCCCGTATTCACAAACGATGCTTGCATAATTGAAGGTGCAAATCGAACGCACAGCGTTGGATAGAGCTCTGTGATTGGTTTGTGCCTCACCCTGTGTGTCCACGCGCACTGTGAGATCTCAGTAATGTTTGTGAATACGGGCGTTAATACCACAGTTAAGTAATACATACATTCGGCCCCACAAGGCGGCTGCGATGTGCGTCCCCGAGTTATTGGTGTACTGCACGGCGGTCTTGATTTGGTGACGGCAGAACGGGCAATCCAAGATGGTATTTTCTGGACCCAGAAGTAACGGACCCTGAAAATAATTTACATCTTTATAAATCTTTAAATAATTTTCTATTTGTATAGGGCGCCAATACGTATGCGGCGCGCACGCACACACTAACAAAATTCAGCGCAACTCCCCGCTAATCCACGCTAAATTTTGTCAGTGTGTGCGTGTGCGCCGCATACGTATTGGCGCGCTCACATACAAACCGCGCTCGGTGCGTTTCTATGAAGATGACCTACTCATTTGTATTTACTCTGTTTTTACGCAGTTGGGTTTTTATTGAAGACTAGCTGACCCGGCGAACTTCGTACCGCCTTAGCGTAGAGATTTTCTTAATATTTTTTTCCGTAAGAACCATCCTTGGACTTCCACAAACATTTAAAAAAAAGAATTATCGAAATCGGTTCAGCCGTTCACACGTGATGCCGTGACAACGCGAAACGGGTTTCATTTTTATATATATAGATTATTCAAGTCAGCAATTTCAAACACCTACCTACCTACTACTATGCTATCATTTTAGTTTATTAAGTAGTTTTATTGGCAACGCGCGATTTTATCACGGTAGCACTTAATTTAAACTGTAATGGTCTAATTATGTATATCAGTTCTTGTTCTCCTTAACGACATTTACTTACATACATTGCAGAATAAATGCTTTCTTAATTAGTTAAAAATGATTTGCCACATTTGCATAACAACAATACCTTTCATATTCAATACCTATCTAGTACTTACTCAAAGCGTAATCTAATTACGCTACTACACGCTACTACAGAAACAGTGATAAACAAAATTGACAAAAATTGACCATTAACGATTGATGATTTTAAAATGGCAGAATTAATAAGTGCACAGGGAAAAATTTGTACAAAAATATAGCGAGACGATTTATTCTTTTTGGATGCCTACTGTCTGTAAATGGAGAATGTAAGAAATAGTTTTCAACTCCAAGAATAAAGTCGTGATCTTTCGCTTAAAAAAATACAAGACAAGTTCCAGAATCACACTTAGGTATGTACTTCCCTACCGATAAGGTAAGTATTTGTCGTTGTCAAATGTTTACATGAAGATAAATATTGAGCATATTGCTGTAATAATAGCGCACACTTCGATTTACTCGTAGGTCAGTATTCTCAGAAATAAATACCTATGTCCGACTCGTCTTAGTATAGTGCTTAAGTGGTAAATTACATACCGCATTTGCCGATGGTACTGGCGCTGACGTAGTTGCCCCAGAAGCCATTGTAGAATTTATCTAGAATAAAGTAAATAAAAAATACATTAATGTAAGTATGTCACCCATTTGAGCAATCATAAAATTCAACAACCAAAATACACTTTAAACATTTTCAGTGACTACACATTTTCATACTGAACAAACGGTGCTTTGTAGCAAAGATTAGGTACGCTGTAAATGCAGTTACAAAGTAACAACTCTTGAAAGCCTACAAAGTATGATAGATAGATGTATGTACCAACTATACATACTTTATCACATACCTAGTTATCATACAATAATCTACTGTTAATGTATCCGATACACACTTAGTTTACTGTGTAACAAAGGAACAACTGTAATTGTCATTACTATATAATTTAAGTAAACTTTCTATAAGAACATGCTATAGAAGTGTAGATTTTCCATTACTAAAATTAAATATGTAAATACATAAAAGAAATTATAGAATCTTTCTTACAGATGATTACACATCTAAGAAAAAACATTTTATAACTGCAATCGCAACATAACAATAGGAGTACAACCAAAGAATAAAATAATATTAAGCAACTTACACTATAATTTATACTGTCGTACACTTTTTCTGAGACACAAATGTAAAATGTGAAAAACGTAAAGTGATATGGTTGAAGAAATTATAGAAAACGACCGTTTCGTTTGGTAGCGAGTATAATAATGTCCAGCCACAACGTTATGACTAACAATCTGTTAACAATTATACAGTGCTTTTTAAAAAAAATACCATAATAAATTTTAAAGGGACTGAAATCTTACGCTGGCTTCATTCAGATAAGTGGTATGGCATTGGCATGAGGTACTTGAACTTGTCAAACTTATTTATGACTAGTTACTATGGTTTTGGCGTTTGGGTCCGGTGGACGGTGATTTGTATACTATCCGTTCGCTTTAAGTTTACCGCTGGCGATATGACGTCACTCGAAGGGAAGCGTCTATAACTTTAAAAAACTATATTTAAAATATTTTTATTACTTCTATACTAATATTATAAATGCGAAAGTAACTCTGTCTGTCTTTCTGTCTCGCTTTCACGTCTAAGCCACTGAACCGATTTTGATGAAATTTGGCAGGGAGATAGTTTGAGTCACGGGAAAGGACATAAGATAGTTTTTATCCCGGTTTTTGAAACAGGGACGCGCGATAAAGTTTTTCTGTCACAGACAAAATTCCACGCTGGCGAAGCAGCGGGCGGAAAGCTAGTTATTGATAAAAAAATGTGTATTTGCGTAAAATAAGACACATTAATTGCGTTTAATCGCGGTTGGGGGAGGGGACGCGCATTCCACGGACCGGCAAACTTAGCGCGAACGGGTAGGGTACTGAGCTGTAACTGAGCTTTCAATAATCCTATATGTTTTTCCCTAACAAGCCTTTTAAGGCAAACGTATACGTGCGTATACACTCTTGTGGATGATGCGAACTGTAATAGAGTAGATCTTCTAACAAAATATTTGAATGTTATGATATACCCACTTGAGGCTACGTATCGAAAATAAATTATAGCAACGTTGAATTGAAAGTATAAAAGAATCCAAAACAATGTTTATATCAGTGCCTAAAAATTTCTGCTGAAATGAGCTACTAGATTTTTGTTTTGTTAATATAATTTAATGTAAAATGATTTTTTAATCGTGTTTGTATCATTGTTAAAGACTATAACAAAATTAGTATTATTATTAACTATCATTATTAAAGACCATAAGAATATGAGTGTTAACTATAATAATATGCTTACCAATTTCCTTCCTCAAGATAACGGTGTACTCTATTTAAGGCAATAGTGCTAACACTCGTGTGTTTCTGTCGATCACAGTAGCCAGACTGCTAAACAAACAGTATCGCCATATAGCGGGCATACCGCATACACACTATATAGGATTAATAGTCTATCTATAATTCTATACCATAGTGTCTATACCACGAATCTTTAGGTATCGACGGGGCGCCTACCGCGCATAACAAAGTTTAACCTTGACAATTATTTGATACCTAACTCGTAGACTAATAAAAATAGCTGTTTGTGATATATCCTCAAATATAATATTATACATTCCTATATAATAAAGGCTGTTTACACGAATTGTTAGTGCTTTCATAAGTCATCCTCAGATTCAATAAATATTCGAAAAATACTGAATAAGTGCAGTCTCATAGATACATTATTACCGATTCATTTTTATATTTATAATTTCGTAATACCTACACTATTCATCAGGGCTATTGTGACTATTGAAGAATTTTTTAAATCGGTGCAGTCAGTAGTTTCGGGGCCTATTCAATTCAAACAAACAAACGAATCTTTCAGTGTTTTTAAGTGTAGATGTAGACTAAGCTTTTGCCTGTAAGCTTTTTAAAAAGAGTGCAACTGATCTACATTTTTCCCTGGATCTGTAACTTCTATGTTTATTCTTAAATTAATGATTTAGTACTTTTCTACGAGTATATAATATTTATTACCTTTACTATTGATCTATTTATTAATCAGTTTTAAAGAGCGATGATCAACGGAATCAACGCAGAAAACAAAGAAAAAGTAAAAGTAAAAAGTTTTCGTCTGTTTTATTATTATTTCATGCTATTTACTATTTACACTTGTAAAAGACATCAACGCGTCATGGAAATTATATCTATAATAATGTATATTTCCTATATAACTTATATTTTGGGTAACCCTATACTCGTGCTATACTCGTATGCACGTCACTTACGTGAGATGGTCATTAAAGTCTTCTCCTTTTTCTTCTGAGGTTGTAACAACTAAGGCCAACAAACAACTCTAGTTTATTAAAGGACAATGACCAAAAGTGGTCCAAATGTCCACCACTAACGAGACCCATATTGGCTTATAGTCCATTAAATAGAGATTAACTTTCAGTATGGGACGAAAAAAAAATAAGCTGTCAGTAAAAAGTTACGACTGTATGAAAAATTGTAGTAGTTTACGCGCTAATCTCATTAACTACTGGTCCGATTTGAAAAAATATTTTTGTTATGGATAGCCCATTTATCAAGGATAGTTTTAGATTATATAACATCACCCTATAACCAATAGGGGCGGAGCAGTAAAGACAAATGTTGTAAAAATGGGAAATATTATTCAAACTATTTTCACGCGTACTAAGTCGTCGGCACAGCTAGTATAATATAATATAATTCGTCTATAACCCCGCACCAGTTGGGGAAATAAGACTATTTTTACCCCTTTCGCATTATTCCAAGTATTCCAATATTGTTGTCTTTCTTCTGAGCTTTTTTTTTCTTTTAGTGAGAACCTAACACGACACACTGTGCGACATTACCATGCATAGATTAGTCCAAAATGTGCGATGGATAGAATGATATCAAGAACATTTTTCGGATGAAAAGGTGAAAAACATGAATTTTCATTCAGTGATAACTTTTTACTGACAGCATATTTTTGATTGCGGTTTGGTTATAATAAATCAGTATTTAGTAGACTATTTTACTACATAGGTCTCGTTAGTGGTGGACATTTGGACCACACTCCATACATTTTTGGTCATTGTCCTTTAAAATTATACAGGTAAAAATTATAAGAACACGTTCTAAAATAAGTATGTTTATTTAATTATCACAATCTTTTACATTTTGATGTTAAAACGCAGTACAAAATAAGTCTTATAAAAATGGCTTCAAAACTTTATAATTGTGTTTTTCTTATAATGTTCATAGTTTCAAAGATATAAAAAATCATAATATTTGTAACACTAAAATAAAAAAGGCACCACAAAATGTTTATTTGCAATGAATAAATGCTTTTTGTAATTAAACTTATATTTAAACTCTGATTAACCACGATTAGATTTTCGTTTTGTTCAAGATAATGCAATAATCGTTTACGTCAATCAAATTAATCATAATTTTGCGCATAAACGATCCAGTTGATTATCTTTGCACTTGAGATGAAGACAGTGCTCAAGTATTAAGAAACCCTGTTTCTACTTGACGTAGGTTCCGAGGTAACGCTGGCAGTTGGGGCAGTAGTGGTCCGAATTCTTCGCGGACTCTACTCCATACGGCACGCAGCAGAGGCAACTGAAAAAAAAATCAATATTATTTTCCTGAATAAAGCGCACTATTTAAAAACGCCTTTACAACTATTTTGGTGTTGCGAATGCATAGGTATGTCTAGGTGTTGGCATCGTTCGCCATTGAGTCATTCGCAAACCAGTTTGCGTCCTTTTACGTAAAGAGAGTAGATAAAAGTTTAAAAAACTCCTAATAGTTGTTATGATAAGTGTTTTAAAATAATAAATATACAATCTTTTCAGCATAGGACCAAAACTGTTAGGTATATTAAATCGGGTCTTAGTTTACCTATATGTAAGGGAATTAATACCTGAGTAGGAAAGAGGTATATTGTGTATGTTCACCTAGATCTAAAAACACGAATGGACTGAGATTTTCCATTAGAAAGATATTATAAGGCCTTCAACTATTCCATATATCCCAAAGATATATCATAAATAAGACCTTTCACGAACGGAAGATGGATGTGACATACCATAACAGGCCCCAAAGTGCAGCGGCGATGTGTGTGCGCGACGTCGTGGTGAACTTGACAGCAGTCTTGATGGATGCTTTGCAGAACTGACACACTGTGACAGTGTTCTCTGGGCCTAGCAACTGGCCAGTCTGCCAAAAATAGAAATTGTATTAAAATTATTATAGCCTGACCAAGAACATAAAAACCCTCGCCATGTTGCGGAAAACTAATGGTACTAATTTCTTTTAATGGCAACAGTAACTGAAAACTTCATTGACATGTCACCTTGCATGTCAGTCTATTGCTGTCAAAGTGTAAACAAACTTTATTTTAAATGTGCGCAATTGATTTTGTGAATGAAATTGCTAAAATGTTTTTATAGTCATGAAAGAAAAGTGGTTCACAATGTGTTAAAGTATTTGTCGAAGAGAAATACCAAGGGTTCGGACAATATTTTCATTGAATAATGTTTCCAACAAAGGTTGTCAAATTGACTGACATGTTTATCGTATAGTACAGTCCACTATGAAAATTAGCTGTGGTTTGTTTCAACTACCTATTTTAAAGTTTTTTGTCACTTTCTAAGTGTTGAATTTTATGGAATTGGGAAAGAAGTACCGAGTTTGAAGCGTTCATGAGCAGACATTGCAGTTGAATATTCAAGTTCTGAATTTGATTATTGATGAATAATAAAATAAATCCTACTAGCTCGATTGATGGTTTCATTTAATTTATTTAAACCAGGTTACCTATAATAATATTTTTTCGTTAATTTATGAAAATATCAAATTAGCCCGTAATCCTGAATCCTGATACATAAAGTTAGCCTATTAATTTAACACAGGTACGACTGTACTCAGTGTTGCACTATCAAATGCAACTGACGCGCCTCTATGCCAGGGTTTTTATGTTCCTGGTCAGGCTATACCCGAAAATTTCAAATAATCGGAGAAAAATCATGAGTATGTATGTATGTATTTCCAAATTGTCCTGTATGTGGCAAAAATATAAAATGTATCGTTGTAATAGAAAAAACTAAAACCAAAATAATTTATAGAAACATGGCGATGATGTAATGAAATGTTATAGATAAAATAGCGTATTTTTATAAATAAAATTAAATTAACGGATGAAGAGACTTGTTTACATATTTACGTTCCGTTGTTATCTTACTATAAGTATAGATAAGAGCCTATGCAGCATGTGGCTTTGTGCATCAGAGCATAAATCATATTTACCTACACGTGCCTACACTTTCGATATTAAATTACTTAATTCAATTTTTATTTATTAGGTAATCCTTAGATCCAGAGTCAAAGGATTTGGGCAATAGGTATACTATAGTCGTAATTAATTACGCATGCTGCCAGACTGGTTTAGAAAATCCAACAACGGGATATTTTTAGAACAATAAAAACCTCAACACAGTCGGTACTATCAACTACTCACTCAACAGAGTAAGTTCCTTGAAACGATAGTGTACTAGTGTTACCAATCACCAAAACTTCCTGGCCGTCTGTACAACTTTAACATGAATGTTAAATTATAATATTGAACCTTATTCGCTTATTGTACAGTTCAAAATCTGCCAAATGAACACGTCCCTATGCATGCAGCTCACTATACGCACACATCGGGTTTTAAAAACTATTTTTAGCGATGACTTCAAACCTTGTGCGCCGGGACTTTTTGCATCACCATAACTACTTGATAACTCTCATTGTTATCAACTAAAATGGAAACTTATTTATTCATAAGTATATGCAATTATTACATACACTATCTAATAAAATTACTATTGCTCGTCAATCCTGTCCTACGTTAGATCCAGAATTTTTAATACCCAATTTGTTCATAAATCCTACTTCCTACTATCCTACTAATATTATAAATAAATTTTGTATGGATGTCAGGATGTAAACTCGTGTTTGTTACTCTTTCACGCAAAAACTACTAAACGGATTTTGGTTAAACTTTACAGTATATTTGTTTATAACCCAGTAACATATAGGCTATAATATATTTCTAAGCTAGTATTTCATAATATTACGTAGTATTTACATTGGTATATATTTAAATCATTATGATCAAGAAAAAAACACACTGATTTACTGACCTGCATTGGTGGGACTGCAGCCGGTGCCATCTGAGGGACTGGTTCCTTACGCTCCATCTGCAACAAAAAGAAATTATTATGAGCTTCGGGTTTTTCGTGAAACGGATGTATATAAATGTAGTGGTAAAGGTATCACAGAACGCCTGGTTATATCATTATCATCATTCTTCAGTCAACCAAAGACCTTTTCTTGACTTAAATTTTCCCTGAATATGCTTTAACTAAACTGAACCTACGTATTCCGTAAAATAAAACAAAATGGATCACCTCTATTATTCAACGTGAGTACAAGTTCGACAACGTTAACGTTACCCACATTTTTACCAGTAGAACATAGTTTTAAATCGTTTCATGAAATAAAGTTCAATTCATTTATTTTCTACGTAGAATATGGCACTCAACAGAATTTTTTTGAGTTTGAAGTGGCAAAGGAATTCAAATTCATATTGATAACATAAAAACTCAAGTACTGAAAAGTTTTAAGTTAAAGTGCGCACAGTCTCAAGTGGAATATTTATTAATATAATTAGTATAATGATGTATATAATTTCATTGCATGCATGTATGTAGGTGTAATAAAAATAGGTAATTAATGTGATCGCGTTATTATAGAAGGAAATCGATAATAAAAATTAGAACTTACTTTGGCGTTGGGATAAACCTGAGGATAAAGGGGCAGTCCGTCGTCGTCCATATTTTTCCTAAAACAAATGGTTTTGCTTTTATTTCATCTTACGGAATATGGATTACCTACTTGTTTAATTGGCTTCATTTGATAACGAAACGAATATTTGATTTCGTTTGAGATTGAAATTTTCTTTTGTTACTCAAGAATCTGCCAAGATGAAATTTCAAAAGTTATATGATACATTTTCACTCAAACGAAATCAAATAAGGGAGAGTCCGCTAATTTGGACCAGTTTTTTTCAATCCCATTTTACACATAGTTTTCTTTTGTTTTTGCTAATGTCCATGGTATATAATAAAAGATACATTATACAACTTACTATTTCATAAGTATTAATTAACATGATTGTTGTATATTTAGCACAAATCAACAAAGTACGAGTTCAGAGCTTCGGTCCAATTTAGCCAACCGGTTCGATAATTTGTACCACAGGGTTACTAAATTGGATTTCAATAAATTTCAAGCCTTTAAAAAAACTATGGCAAAATATTATAAGATACCTACATTCTTAACAAATTAGGAAACGAAGAGGAACAGTAGTTAATAACATAGGCAATCGATATTGTTTTACACGTTATCACGATTTTGAGTACAAGTTTTGTAATTCCAATTATCGTAACGCACACTTGTACCTAATCTACTTGCCAGTCTTTTGCTTTCATTTATTGTTAGTCAAACATAACTACGCTATTATAACTTCAAAATATGATTTACTAAAAAAAAATTCAAAATCCTTTGGTAAAGTTCCATACAACTTGATGTGGTACAATTTAGCCGACTAGGTGATAGTGCTTTTAAAAAATCGGTAAAAAATATAGTTTATAAATACCGAAAAATGTTTCAAATAATTGTAATCCACACTAATTTACGCTTCTAAATAATATATTAGAAACACCCTGTGATTAAATTTAACAAAATTACAATCTAAACATGTATTGTCAAAAGTTACTTGAAAACAATGAAAAAATACTTTTCAAAATAAAACACACGTGTTTGTTGTCACGGCAAAAACCACATGGCCGATATTAATTGATTTTAGTTGTGTATCGCTGAGTGTTGCAATTACAGACATTCAGTAAATACTTTACGAAATATGAGGGTGGTACAATTTACCCGGCGGTACAATATACCGAACTCTCCCCTATGTATTTTAATATTACTAATTTTGAGAACAACCATGCCTCTGCTAAAAATAATTTGCTAAATTACTTAGTCATAATAATCACCAAGAGTTTTGAGGAAAATTTATGGAATACGCACTATAAACAAATAAACTATGAATAAATAAATAAATGTGTCTAAGTAGCGGAGTTTTGACTTGAATAGTGTTTTATTTAATATTATTTCAAGTTAACAACAGATATTTGACGGTCCAATGAAGTAACGTGGTTCATCACGTGATCGCCACTGTGCGGAAAAAAATATTTTCCAAATTAAACAAAATACTATCAAATTAATTACAATTAATTGCACTCAGCGTGACTCATGCTATCAACCGCAAAGTCGTCGACTATTGAAATGGTCAAATTAATTTAGGTATTCAAAGACAATTAGCAATTGTTTTGTTTTCAAAGTGTTATCGCATTCAACTTTTGTTAGACATCGTCATTAATTAAAACATGTACATGTATGTATTCAGGATTATTAGACATGCTGTGCTGTTAACTCATACAGCAAGTAGGTACAGAATAATATTTATGACCCTTAATTTGTTAACGCCAACAACAGATAGAATGCATTAATAGTAATTTAATTAAAATTATTAGGTTAGTATTTTATAGTCAGCTCGATATTTCCCGGCAGCATATTTGATTTTCCTAATATTATTCATGAAATTATCTCGTTCTTCTTGGTATTTCGATTATCTACATAAACCATGTTATACATATTTAAATTGCAATTACGTAAATCTACTTGACTTATATTGCGTACGAATGAATGGAGTAAAAACTCAAGCATGATTCTAGGCTCAAAAATAGATTTTCACGGCTGTTGCACTAAACGTAAATTTAGATCTAGATTTCGTTTCACAATAGGGAAGAACCTATTTCATAGATATAAAATAAATAGTTATGCTTGTTTCCTTCCACAAAAAAGGGTTCAGTCAGAACTGATTATAACCATGTCCAAAACAATAGGCGAATCCACAAGCATTGTTTGAATAAAATTCGTGCATGAACACGATAAAATATTTGTATTCCGACGGCAACTTTAATATTTTTAGCCAAAGTTTTTCAATAGCAGCCCAAGTAGGTTCGGTCACGGTCACAGTTGGACATTAACATATCTAACGTTTGACAGACGCGATTTGATTTGTAAAATTTTGGTCAAAATAGGTACCTACCATCTATTCAAATACCAGAATAAAATGCTAGTTTTCCTTTAGAATCTGGATCTGCTATACCTAGATAGGCATTCCATATAAAACCGTTGTGGAAGTATGCCAACTTTAGCGAATCAATATCTAGCTATAACGAATGTTACCTACATGGTTCGTCTGGGTTTGACGCAGACCGTTCCATTCGTATATAGTGCTTCTTTGTTTACTGGGTATAATGTTATGCACAAAACTAGAGCTATCCAATCACTATCTCTAAAAGAGGTCAGCGTGTCAATTAAAAGAAATACAAGACTTATCTCTTATGGATTTGTAGTCCAAAATTTAAATAAATAGGCAAGTAAATAAATAGGTAGGTATGCGACTTCTAATTGTGAGATATTATCCTCACTTCACAAAATTAAATAATATTTAAATCGTATAACATTAGCCTTTTTGTGTAAAAAAAATCTGTCCCCACTTGTTGATTCATATAACATGTGCATTGTGTATGCCATTTTTGCATCGAATGCATTATTTAATTTCGAGTAGGTACAATCAAAGAGTAACACTTGTCATATCATATTTCACGATATCAGCCATAATATCAGCTCTACATATTTCACTAACACGACGTGGAATGGTATTCGTCGACCGAATCTAATTTTTCGAAAACTTATCCTCAACACACGCGCACTGACGTATCAAAGTCAATAAACAAGATTGAAAGCACACCACCAAAATCGCCAGAAGTATGCGGGCGTTTTCGTAGAACCCAGCCTACGTGGTATCATCCTCAGATGATTGACTCACTGTTCGACGTTTTAGAGATGGAGACAATATTGTATAGAATAAGTCAATAGTTCTTACCTTATTTTCTGTCCAAGTCTTCTCTGTTTTGATTGCGGAAAGCGAGCAGTACGCGTGCGTCTAACGAGAGCTCGACGTGGAATGGCGTGTCTGTGAGTGAGCCGCAAGACGCGCCGGATCGGCAGCTGGCTACCAAAACAAAGCGGTCCGGTTTGTTTGGGACTTTGGGTTCGGCCACCTTCGGCTATATTACCTACTAAACGTGGTCTTTAAAGCTCTAAGTTTAAATACCACGCAGATGCATAATATTAAAACATGCTTTGCTTTTCTTTGTAACTGATAAAATATTGAGATAAAATGTTGTTTTTAATAACATTTCACTGTTGATGCGTATTATCTCAAAAACCCGATCTTGAAAACTGGTTTTTGGTAGAAAGATTAGGTATTTGTTACTGTTAACTCTATCATATGAATATGATGCAACTAGAATTAATGTTAGTTAAAATATCATCTACATTCCTAACATATGACCAAAACAAAGGTGTCTATCAAAAAATAAGATTTTATAATTAAAAAAACAACTGTTGACCAAATATTATTAGGTTATTAGTCTAATAATCCGCTTTCCCTGTGTGGCCCATTAATCAACTTTCTCGAGGGGTAATTAAATTAAAACACATTCAAACTATCCAATGTTTATTCAACAATATTAGGTAGTAAATTGATTTCGTTTCTACGTAAGTTGAATAGTGTCTTTAATAACATAAAAGGTACATAAGTAGAGTACAAAACTAAACTGGTAAGTACAATCTTAGGTACTAAATAAAAGCATAAAAACGCTAAGGTACAATCTATGTTTGATTTGGTCGATATGCCAGATAGAAAATATTCGCTAAAAAGTACTAAAAGGTCAGATCACATTCTATTAATTTTAACTAATAGGCCATTTTAGTGAATTTTACCAATTAAACGTGCACGTTAGAGTTAACATTGAACATTTTACCTGATACCGACTACTTCCAACGAAATTACATCAATCAATCGACTTGTCTGGACGAAACCTTAAACACCTACCTACTTAGTGATTTAGATTTTAGAATAGCCAAAATTCAGATTTTGAGCTAAATTAACTTAATTACATTTTCTATGGCACATTCAAAGAATTTTTGGTCAGAAATATAAACTACATCACAGTTTCACATAAAAGCTAAATAAATATTCCAAAACAACATATGTAATTATAGTTGCAAATAGAAAGATAAATGACATGAAGGTAGATTTGTACTTACAAAATAATTTCGTAATTTTTTGAAAAAATGACATTATAATTTCATGGTAACTACCTACATAGTTGCTTATTCCCAACGAGTCACACCCAAAGGTGTAACACTGTACTCGTTGGGAAAAAAATCCCATCCAGTCACACATTAAATATCAAGGATATTACGAAATTTCATTGTAAAGATACAATGTACAAAATACATTTAAAATCGTAATAATTAAGTTATCTAAACTCACTCACTGTAAGAAAATACAGGTTAACAAGTATCTAACGGTGTGACTGGCTGGGACTTTTTTTTTTCAATTTAATTGTAACATTGTTACTCCCGTGTGACTCGATGGTAACAAGCTATGATGACTGTAACCAGGAGGCATATTTTGAAAGCTTTAAAATCCAATTCATCGACGAATGTTACATGTTACTCACAAGGAGGTACCTGCTATAGGAAAATATTAATTAATACCTTTATACGTAGCAAAGTTTTCACATACGACTATTGAATTCCTAATAATGCTTCAAAAATAATGTCTTGGAGATTCAATTCAATATCAGTCCTACATTTATCTCCTTATTTTAATAACATTTTGACGTTGTTGTTAACAATTATTGTGGTGCATTTAAACAAAAAACAATCACAAAGTTTGGCATCGATTCTAAATCCACCTGATAAAATCACAAAATTTCGAAAATTTACATATTATGTCTTCTCCTTAGCGCTTTGAGATAATTTAAGTAATGATGGTGAAGTACGTGGCTCTTTGGATATTTATTATAACTAAGTAACATTTGATGAAAAATAATCACATTTGCTTGTAACTTACTCGTACATACCGATTAATACATACATAATTAATTAAAATTAAAAGTATTAACAACGTAAAGATAACTTAAAGCCGAGCTAAACGTTGTAAAAATAAATAATAAACACGTGAAATGCGTTTGCGCCAAAACACAATTGTACTACCCTGCTTGCGAATGATTAACAGCCGCTTACACTAAACAGCGAAAGCTTCCAACGCCAACATCGATAGGGCCGCCATACCAGCCACGGCTGGCACCGTCACCACCCACGCGAATATTATGTTCCTGGAACAAAAGTACCATTACATCAATGATCAATCGATCCATCAATAAATTGGGCCGGTGACGAAAGTCTTTATTGTATCAAATGTTTAGCAATCATGATTAAAGTCATAACTAACTACAGACAGGCACACATCGTCACAATATCTCTACTTATGTGTCACAACCATGCCCGTTCCATCAACTTTGATCCCATAAATTATCTTATTCACATAAATTCGTATCTATTTGATGGAAAATAGAAAGTAGGGGAGACTGGGTACGGTTGAAACAAAGGACGGTTGAAACAGAGCAAATATCTCGTAAACGGTTCCGCGGGGAGTGAGGGGTCCTAGGGGAAAAAGAAGCGGAAGACAGATCCGAACACGAATTTAGTGCCTAATAACTTCCTAACGCGTTGACGTTGTGTATAAAACACCATTTTGTTTTTTACTACCCAAAGTAAGTATTTTTCTTCAGACATTAACGCTTATACTATCTGTTCTTTTTATGTGAAATGATCAGATTTGCGTTTGCGATTATAATGAAGCTTGTAGAATAAGGGACAGTAACTATTTTTAATGTGTGATTATTAATATCGAAACTATAAAGTATATTTTACCAAAAGTGGGGTTGGGGACGGTTGAAACATTTTTTATGGGTACGGTTGAAACAGAAAATGTATTAATGTTTATTTTTTGTTGATGCCGAGAGTTTGGGTAAGGAAGATTTCCAGGTAGGAAATTGACTTGGTAAAGCATAAGAGGAGGTAAAAGCTGGAGATTCACTGCGGAAAGCGGCGGAAAAGTATGGTTTGAAAAAAACATTAAGATTTTCGTAAACTTTCTTTAGAAAGTTAATAATTTTTTATTATTAATGTTTATTAGATGTGGAAATATTATTTATTTTATCGTATCTGTTATTTTTTTAAATGTTTACTACTTATCAAAGGCTAATTAATGTTTTAGAAATATTAAATACTTAGACTGATTAATGTCGTCATGTGTTGCCATAATTTTAATATTCGTAGTATTAATGATAAACAAAACACGTTTTATTGGTAATTATTGTATTATTTGTATGTATTTCAACAGACCCCAATCGCTGTTTCAACCGCCCCTGGCATGGGGACGGTTGAAACAAAATTTCTTTTTTTTTTAATTTCGTATATTTCTAAAAATAGTAACCCGGGAACTATAATGATACAGCCATATCATAGCTAAAACTTCAAATTTCAATTTCACGTATCGTAATCGTCACTTGGTTATTAAACAACAAAATTATAGACAATAAAAGCAAAATTGTTTCAACCGTACCCAGTCTCCCCTACGACATGGTGGAACCCACGGCGACAAAGGTAACCTTGCAGTAAGTGGTAATTTCCTGATTCCCGATCTCATTGAGACGTTTGCACGCCACTTTAAGTGGCTGAGTAATCATACTCAGGATCTTCTTGTTGAGAGAATAGTAACTCCCTCTAAAAATGATCCCCAATACGTTCACTGATTCATGAACTGTATTCTCGGTATTCTTTATGAACCCTGACTTAAATGACAGTTCGGACCTTGCAGTTCTCGAGAATTGAAAAGTTTTTGGAAACTGTTAGGATTGTTGACCTATGCCCAGGCTTGTGCCTGTACTATAATCCCTTTGGTAAAAATATGTTCACTCATTACAAGTCACCCTGTATTTAAGACTCTCCGGAGACTACAGTCTTTTAGTCGGTCGAAAGTTGGGCGCGATTCTAATTTGTATGAAGGATCGGCCGATCCAATGTGCACACTTTTATACCATGTGTCCATACTGACATGTATGAAAGTGCGCACATTGCACCGATTTGGTATCGACAGATTCTTTATACAAATTAGAATCGGGCCCAAATATCGGCCGACTAAATTCCGGTGGTCTGCGCCTAAGCTTACTTCGTTCATTCGTTTCAGCCAAATGACGTCTACTGCTGGACAAAGGGGAGGCCTTTGTCCAGCAGATTTCATTTGGCTAAAGGCCCAAGGTTTTCCATAATGAACGGTCCTGCGCTGCCCGCATCCAGGCTTTTCCCGCGAGCTTTACCAGATCGTCGGTCCACCTAGTAGGAGGCCTGCCCACGGTACGTCTTCCAGCCCGTGGTCGCCACTTAATTACCTGAGAAGAAAACAATGAGTCATGGGCCTCACCTGAACAGACTCCAGTCAACAGCCTTCTCGGAGAAGTAGCCGACGCAGACCACGGAGCCGACCTTGCAGTGCGTGGTGGACACCGGCAACCCCGCCTTGCTGGCCACAAGCACCGTCAGCGCCGCGCCCAGCTCGATGGTAAATCCGCTGGAAAGTATCAAAGTGTAAAGATGCTTGTGTTTTAAGAATTAGCCTAGGCCTGGAACCACCGACTTTTAGATGTCCGATAGTTGGGCCCGATTTTAATTTATATGAAGAATCGGCCGATACCAAATCGGTGTAATGTGCGCACTTTCATACATCTCCATATTGATAACAGCCCGACTTAACTATCGGCCGACGAAAAATCGACGGTCTGCGCCTAGGCTTAATGTGCGCACCTTCATACATCACCCTATTGATAACAGCCCGACTCAACTATCGGCCAACTAAAAATCGGTAGTCTGCGCCTAGGCTCAGCTCAGAGTGAGTTCGATTTTTATTTTTGTTGTCATGTTTTTTGTCGCATATGGTCTAACAAATTCTATCTTCACTTGTTTGTGGACAAAATATTGCGCAGTATGATGTCTGCGTGCAAATTAACAGACTAGATGTAGCGGATGCAAGACGGCTTCCACGAAAAAAAGGTGCGTCATCGCTATCATGCGACCGGCCGTTTGGTGTAGTGGTTTGAAACAGACTACCACAGAGTACATTAGAATATTCAGACTAATATGCCGAGAGGTCCCGGATTCTACTCCCGGCCGGGCAGAAATTGAAATGATGAATTTTAATTTCTGTGACGGGTCTGGGTGTTACTATGTTTAATATGACAAGCATGTTAGTGCTTACTTTGGGGTTATATGTTTTTTTTTAATATTATTATTAAATAATAACTCATGCAGATTATTTTCTGAGCAGATAATATTTTTTCGTACGTTCGTTCGTGGCTGAAACGAACGTCAGCCAAATGACGTCCACTGCTGGACAAAGGTCTCCCCCAAAGATTTTCATAACGATGCGCTGCCCACATCCAGGTTCTTCCAGCGACCTTCACCAGATATTTTTTTATGCAAGATATTTCTTCATTAAAAGGAAATTAAAGAGTAGGCATCTTACGTATCCGGCGTGATGCTGGTAAGGTCTTCGCCCACGGTGCGGATGACGCGCCGTCCCCACAGCCATAGGCCTAACGCGATGCCCACTCCGCCGAAGACGAGGATGGCCAACGGAGTCTCGGCCTTGGCGTGCGCGCCGCCTTCTGAGTACAGCAGCCATAGAGCCACGAGGGGACCGATCGCGTTGCTGAAAACAAAAAATCAACGTTCGGGTGAAAAAAATACCACATCCTCGCAAAAGGTAAACGAGTAGGTAATTTTCCAGAGCTGAAAAATTAGTTAGTTAATTGGTGACGTCTAGGGACATTTAAATCTATAATGTATTTAGCAAGTTTTCCAGAGCTGCCGATATTAATAGCTAACTACAATTTTTTCTTTATACTAGAGGGAAGCCTGATTGTGAGCTTTTAATGTGTTTGTGTACCAATATACTTGTTTCGTATTTTTATCATGCATCGAAAACATTTACGACCCCGAGACCAGCTAATAAGTTTACAGTGGCGCCCAACGTGGGGCGCATAATCCTCAAAAATTACAAAAGTTCCAGAAATTATTCAAAGTAGAACTGGCGGGGGTGGGCTGCAGGCTCGTAACAGGGGCGCCGCGCTGGAGTTGGGCGTTATGGCCGGTAGCTTTGTGGTGCGTAGGTACCTGACGTCATTGCCTCCATGCGCAAACGCGCCGAAGGTGGCCGTAAGCACTTGTAGGAACGAGAACAGCTTCAGCGTGTCTGGAGGGGGCGCCGGCGCCGGCGCAGGCGGGGGTGGGGTGCAGGCTCGTAGCAGGGGCGCCGCGCTGGAATTGGGCGTTATGGCCGGTAGCTTGGTGGTGCGTACCTGACGTCATTGCCCCCATGTGCAAACGCGCCGAAAGTAGCCGTCAGCACTTGTAGGAACGAGAATAGCTTCAGCGTGTCTGGAGGGGGCGCCGGCGCCGGCGCAGGCGGGGGTGGAGTGCAGGCTCGTAGCAGGGGTGTCGCACTGGAGTTGGGCGTTATGGCCGGTACCTGGGTACACGTACCTGACGTCATTGCCCCCATGTGCAAACGCGCCGAAAGTAGCCGTCAGCACTTGTAGGAACGAGAATAGCTTCAGCGTGTCTGGAGGGGGCGCCGGCGCCGGCGCAGGCGGGGGTGGAGTGCAGGCTCGTAGCAGGGGTGTCGCACTGGAGTTGGGCGTTATGGCCGGTACCTGGGTACACGTACCTGACGTCATTGCCCCCATGTGCAAACGCGCCGAAAGTAGCCGTCAGCACTTGTAGGAATGAGAATAGCTTCAGCGTGTCTGGAGGGGGCGCCGGCGCCGGCGCAGGCGGGGGTGGAGTGCAGGCTCGTAGCAGGGGCGCCGCGCTGGAATTGGGCGTTATGGCCGGCAGCTTGGTACACGTACCTGACGTCATTGCCCCCATGTGCAAACGCGCCGAAAGTAGCCGTCAGCACTTGTAGGAACGAGAATAGCTTCAGCGTGTCTGGAGGGGGCGCCGGCGCCGGCGCAGGTGGCGGCGGGGTGCAGGCTCGTAGCAGCGGCGCCGCGCTGGAGTTGGGCGTTATGGCTGGCAGCTTGGTGGTCCGCGCGTCGCAGTCGATGCTCCATGCGCTGCCTTCTGGAGCCTGATATGATGTATCAATCAATAGTTTTTAATAGAATTCAAATTACGAAGTATAGCTAGTTTCTCCCGCGGCAAAGGTCGCGTGGGTTTAGATCTATCTCAGAAAAGTCTTTATTGCTTACACATCTCCTGTTTGAAAACAGCTTAACTACAAAATTTGCTTCTGTCGCTATTATTTGAAAAGGAGGGGTAGGCGAAATTATATTCGAATTTATAACATTCGTATGTAGAAACAACAGATGATGCAAACTGACCTTGTCCACCCTAGGAGGAGGCGTATCGAATTCTACAGTAGTCGGAACTACTCTAGCAGCCGCAAATCGATCGAATTCTCCACGTGCAATAGTGTCGCATGATCCGCCAAAGAAACCGTTCCTAGAATCGTAGCTCTCGCCCATGCCTGCCAACTGGGACGAGTCCAAACTTTTACAGCAACTAAGGGTTTCATCTATGTACTTTAGAGTATTAATTTGCGGATCAGCGTCAATCAGTTGCAGCCGAGACTTGTTGGGTGGGCTTAAGCTCCTTGATAAGATACTGCAGTCATCCATGGTGGCTAGTAAAGCGCGGTTTCGTAAGTTCATTTCTTTGACCCCTATGGAAACCCTGTCGGCATCACTCAGGGTCACCATTTCAGCGCTCTCTGCTATAGCTTCTAGAACTTTCCCATCTTCGGAGAGCAGCGACGTTGGACGTTGAGGGACGCTAGTTTTATTAGAATGCGTTGGAGTATTGGCTGGCGTCGTTTCTGAAACCGATTAATTACTTGGTCATGTTTGATAGTAAATTGAGATCAGAAGGAGCACAGAAAATTAGACAAACAAGAACCTTACCATTCGATAATCCTAAAGTAAAATTGACTGGAGTTGCTGAGAGTTTCTTACGATAGTGTGGAACTAGAAACGCACGCACTAAACCTGCGATTATCACACCCAGCGACACTGATGCTAACAATGCTCCCCACAGTGGAATTTTATCCATTCCCAATACTGAAAACAATAAAAAACACTGCTTAATGAAATTCAAACGGAAAAAATCAAATTCATGTTCTAAAAATGTTTATTAATGTTGTGACTTACATTTAGGTCCATCATGCACCACGCTGAGCACGTTAATAGCAATGGTAGCCCCGTAAAAGAATGGCAGCGCCCGAAGACCGACAGTGAGGGGCTGGGGAGCTCGGAGGATGAACCGACGCACCAGCCAGTACAGCGCTGCTGACACTGTCCCGCTCAGAACAGGTGAGATGAACCACGATGCCACTGGGGACCGTTTACAAAATTATGAATAAGTAGAAGGTTGATACGTAATTTTTCCAATTAATCTCCTCCACCTCCTTGGACAAACTCTCACTATTTTGTAAAAAAAAATATACTAGATACTCGTATTTCTAATCTCCCACTGTATTCAATGTTACATAATTAATTAATATTTGTTACTTATACATAGTTATTTATTTATGGTACGTGGATGGACGTTGTAAGAAAATAAGATCGTCAAGTAAGTAGTCTTCGCATTAACTTCCAAAGAGACTGCAGATAAATTAGGGTCATTCGGGGTAGGTACGAACAGTATTAGTTCATTAGCCACTGACGATCGAGTTACCTCTAGGCTTGGTTGTTTGTGCCATTAGTATTCCTAATTGAGTAACGTACCTACAACATTAATTTGACTAATGAACTAATTTACAATTGCACCTAAGCTTCCACGCTTAAGCACGTCCATGATTTCAATTATAGTTGAATTTTCCCCCGGGAGTGACTGGTAGCGTCCCTCGTCCCCCTCCCGAGAATGACTACATTTACTACATAAATAATGCAATGGTGAGGATCGAGAGATAGGAATAGTCCTGTAAGTCCATCTAATAGAGCTCGTTGTTCACACAGCATCAGTTTAAAACAATAGACCTAACGTCCGTCTGAGAATTGAAGTACTCACCAATAGCTCCAAGCGTAGACCAACGCACTCCAATAGGGCCTTTGGCAGTTAGAGTGAACCCCACGGTAGCGCCCACCACGGAGTGGGTGCCAGATACTGGCAGGCGTAGGGCAGTGGCCACGATGAGCCAAGCTGCGCTGGCAATGAGCGCGGCAAGGCACCCGGCCGCCAGAAGGTGTTCGCCGCCATCCGTATAAAGATTCACGTCGAGGATGCCCTTACGCATTGTATCGGACACTTTGTAGCCTTGAAAAAACATACAGTCGATTGAGAATCTACATCTTTTTTAAAGTCGGTTAAATATGAATGAATTGGTAAATAAAATAAAAATTAAAGTACATATGTATTGCTTCATATGGGAGCATGGCTCTCTTGACGGCAAAGCTTATTGTAAAAAAAACGCTATGTTGCGGCAATCTTTATAGTGGTAATCTACTTAGAAAATAAATAAAATAATTAAATGTTAATCTTGCATTATTATTACTGTAAGATCCGTTTTGCTAGAACAGAGTTTTATGTCAATAAGTTGAAAGACTCTACATTAACTTATTTTCGAGATGTATTTTTTCTAAATACAGATATTATTATCCATATAAAAATTTCCCTATTATTGTCCTTAACACATCACTTGTCTATGTGCGTCAGTCGTCTTGGTATTAATTATGTAATCGCACAGGATTGCGTAATTCTATTTACTAAAATTTCATAAAGACAATGCAGGCAATCATCGTACGAATAAATAGAAAAAACTGGCAAGTGTAAACAATAACTGCAGAAAACATTTCCAATTTTCCCACTCAATTATTAAATCAATTAGAATCATCAATACTAACTAAAAAATCATCTTTGTTTCTTGGTTACTTTAAAATACGTAATAATGTAGGTCTCGTGTAAGTAAACAACTACCGCCGTTGTTAGGTACACACGTGAAGTTTGTGTAAACTTTATCACCGGCGCATTGCAACTTGCAACTAGCAAATAGTGGAGCTTTCAGAAATAATGATGTTTGTCAAATGAAACAAGCAGCCTAGGTTCTTATAAACCCTTTTAGGTTTTATTATTTTTCACGCGTGTGTGGATCAAATCGAAAACTAATTAAGTACCAAAAATATGTTTCATTATTAGATAATTCCCCCGGGACAAACTACACTCGCGAGCAAAAATATGGAATCACCCTATTTATTCCGAGCGATCATAAGAAATAAATGACTAATAGACGATCAATAAAAATGGTACCATTTTAAAGGTGATATTATAAACTTTAAATTGATACCATAGATACATACAATACATAGTCATTCCGTTCTTAAGACCGCTCGGAACACAGAGGGGTGATTCGCACTCTAACATCTATAATTTTTTTTTAAATCTTTGGACAATTTCACACAGCGCCAGCTAGCCCCAAAGTAATAAAATAATTAACTTCATCAACCAATAAAATTAACTTTTTAACTGAAAATAGGCACGTAGTGATCGACCCATGTCATTCCAGACACCGAATGGCGACTCTAGGTCTGACGTAGACATTGATGGACGTAGATCTACTAACTTCAGTCTTATCTAGAATACCTACCTACTTTTATGTTTATATTTTATGTAGTAGGTAGGTACTTAATGTAATACATAATAAGCAAATGGATGATTAGAAAAGAATACCACAAGAGTCTTTCATTTGAATGAACTGAACTGAAATTAAAAATAATAAATTTCACTTACCAATCAACACTGCCCCAGCAATCTCGAAGATGGTCGCGAGAATACACGCCTGCGTCAATGTCAGCACCTTGGAGCCAACACTGGTTCCAAAGGAGTTGGCCACGTCATTGGCGCCAATGCCAAACGCCAGGATAAAAGCCACCACGAAACCGCATATCACCAACCATAGCAAATCGTCAGAGTATGGCTCCATTTCCAATTCGTTACGGAAATCAGAGTTGATCGAGTCCTAAATAGCACCTAATTTAACGACATTTTTTTATTATTTTTATTTCAATATAACAGATAAGCTTCGCTTTTGTCAACACAGTTTCTGTAACAACAATCCTTTCTCCAAACAGGAGACAATCGAAATATTTATCGCTCCATATAAAAATAATAACTATCTTATTATACCCTAAGTAGAGAATAGACAAAATTCTAAATACAATACCGACAATAATTACGCTTCCAAAAGTAATTGTTACAATGTTGAATTTAAAATATTAATTAATTTCGAAAGCTTTGTATTGTGCGTCACAATGTTTGGTTTTTAAAAAGTTTTTCGAGGCGGTGGTGCGGTTCTAGTGATTTTGGCTCCAACATTTCTGAAAAGAACATTACACAACTATCATATAATATCTCAAATAAGATAATGTTTCTCTTATAAGATAATTCATTGACTTCATCAATCATATGGACTAGCAGTGACCACATGGTCCGAATTATATCGATTTGCCGACGCCATTATAGTGGATTTCGCGCTAAAATTAACGTTTTACACACAATTGACACTAAATTGAATAAAATTCGTCGTTACATCATCCTTATTATTCAATAATTCACCATCCTTGATCATCTGAGGCACTAATTAATGAGCACTTGCGTCACTTTTTTATTATAGCCCTCCTTGACATGAATTTTAATGAGAGGAGGACGCTTTTCTATAAAAATTGACCACTAAGATTCCCACTAGGAATTGAAACGTTATGAAGGTACTCACTTTTGTACAATATAGGATTTTATGGTCCTAACCGCTTGTTAAGGGTTAAAATCAAGAGGTATCTATCGCCTGTAGCCTCTCAGCTGTAGACTGAGGTGACGGCCGTAGCCGCGTCGAAGCGAGCTCTACGGGCATGCGCGAACAAGGGTCACCCCACTCCGTGGTACCCCCTATTATGTCGCAAGGCACAATAAAAAATGTTTGTTCTATACCAAAAGAACCCCTAACTTGTTATAACCGGCTTTTTAGGGCTGTGAACTATATCCGTCGCCCATGATAACGTTGATGGATGATCGCCTAGAAGCTAACAGTTGTACCAGTACTTACTCTCCTACTTACCTACTTACAATTTTACGCCATGTTCAGTTGGAAGCAATTTATAGCATACATATTAAGTAACTATGTTTTTAAGTATGAAAAGTAGGTATAGGCACCTATTTATTTGTTTATTATTTTCTTAAAAAACATAAACTCGTAATAACTTCACATAAATCGTATGGAATACAACTTCATACATTATCGAACAGGTATACTCTAGGTAACTAATAAGTAAGTACCTAGTGCGTAAGTTCTTGAGCTTGGGCTTTATCAACCCTAGGAAACCTCGCGGGCTCAACAGCGGGGCGCTGTACCTAAGTTGAAGGGGAAATAGCCATGGTGTTTGAAGGACAAAGAAGTACCATTTCTATACGATTGATGTACGTAGGTAATATGTAGGTAAGTACGTGTTTGCTCAACAAAACAATCTCGATTTAATATGAAAATGATTTTATTAGTGAGAAGACAACATACTTATTTCGGAATTTCGTGACTTGTGTAATAATAATCCGCCCTGGAAATGAACCCGTAACCACTTAATGTTTTATTCTAGTCGTTTCGCTGCCTTACTGTAAGTAGGTACATTCTTTTTTTTTTATGCATAACAAAGCAGTTATTTGACCACAATCGCACCTGATGTTAAGTGGGATGCAGTCTAGGATGGTACATATCTGCCAAAGTAGAGCTTCATCAGCCTCTGGTGAATGAAAGAAATGGGTTGCTTCAATCTATTATACAAAAATGAATCGCAAAATGTTCAAAATGCAAAAAAAACAACGCGGCAACGCCTGGATCAATTTTTTTTTAATGTTCCTTGAAGTCCAACTGGCAAGAAAAATTCGAATAATATCCGGGAAAACCCTAAAAACAGCCTTTTTTCACGCGGCGGGTGAAGACGCGGGCGGAAAGCTAGTAATCAAATAAAATTGAGTTAGAACTTTGTTATTTTAGATCACGCACGAGAAAGAAGACTGCATGCAATGTTTAATAATAACGTTTCGTTTCACTGAATACGATTTTTTAATTTTCATTTTCTTCCGTTCTATGTAAAAAAAAGCCTATAGTGTAGTGACAGTTTTGTTTTGACAATTCAGTGCAGTGTTTCCACATTGAGGGGAAATTCCCCTTTTGAGGGGAAATTAGGGTCAAGAGGGGAAAGAAAAGGGGAAAGACTATAAAAGGGGAAATTGCGGGAAATCGTAGATAAATCCTTTCGGAAGTAATGAGGGTTTTCGCGTATGATAAATGATGGCTCTAGCTGCTACGATTGGTGAATTTTGACAGTATCTATCAATGCTATGCCAAAAATATCCAATCATGCAGCACTCGGACGGACCTCACAAGTCACGCCTGCTTATTGCCATCTAGCGGATTTTTCATACACGAAATCTTTTATTATTTATGGACTCTACCGTGGACTAGTGTGTTACCGTATGAAAGGAACTGCGACAAGCGACAACACGAGCAGGTGGCGTATACTTACCCTTATTTCAATTCTGTTTGAGGCCTAAAATATTATTCTGTGCAAAAATGTATGCGCTGACAGCGTAAACTAATTTGGAATAAAAAATGAGTACACAACTCCAAGTTTTTATTATATTTCTGATCAGTCTGTAAATAAAACACAAATCGTTTAGTTATATTTTATTCATGCTAAGTCTAATTTTTTTAGATTCGCTTGCACTTGCATTAGACTGTACAAACTTGAGGTGTGGTATTTCTAACTGATTTTTCATTAGTTGTACAGAAGTTGTTCCCGTTCTTTTCAAGCCAGATTTTACACAGAGGATTGATGCAACCGTTTCATTATCGAGCCTATTGCGTTTATCTGTTTTGATATTTTTTAGATCACTAAATAATCGTTCAACAGCAGCATTCGAAAAATCTAATTGTTCTTTCTGATCCTCGACATAACTAATGGACTGAAAACTCGTTCCGGGTTGAAGTTCATAAGAGCATGTACTAGTGCCGGGTCTTTCGGATGAGCTCAGAGGAATATTTTCTTCATTCTGAAAAATTATTGATAGGTTTAGCAATCGCCATTCACTCAAATTTAAATTCCTGTAGCAATGTCAGGCAAAAATTTATTTAAAATTTTTCCCCGACTCAAATCAAAAAACCAGTTGGCAACATTCTTAGCACTTCAATCTTATCTTAACAATGATCGAAGGAATTAAACTTTTTTAATTAAAAAAATTTTTAACTCACCTGGATTAATTAATTAATCCAGGTGAGTTAAAATTCTCGGCCCGTGATATTTCTTAAATTGCGATATATTATATCGCATGAAAACAGTTTTTTTTTGTATGGAGTTTCATTCGATATCCGCCATGTTTTTTAATATCGAAAATCCGAGAATAAGGCTCCTGTGGGGTGAATGGTAGTACAAATCTTTGCCTACCAATCAGCTTGGACATAAAAAAACAGTTTTTTCATAACATAACCTAGATATTTTTCATAACATTCTAACCTAGATTTTCATTGTGCACTAAATTATATACTGATTAATATAAAAATGGAAGCACAAACTTACCGATTTTTTAGCAGCAGTATTTATTAGCCACCGATCCATTTCTTTTCACATTAAACAACCGTCGCAATAAATATTTCTAGCTGTGATTATTTATTTGAATGGATCACCACCGTACCAAGACCAACCACCATAGAACAAGTAGTACCAACAGTAAGGAAATTGATAGCTAGTGATGTGCAGCTATATCAAAATAATAGTAGTAATCTGCAAAGTCGACTGTCGATGATTTTGTTGACGAATTTTGTGTAAATAATAATATTAATACAATAGACTATAGAAGAAGAACGATAAATAAACTATAAATTTTAGGTTTGGCGTGTGGTGTCAAAACTACAGCAAAATAATTTTTGAGGGGAAAAAAGTCCGTAGAAGGGGAAATCTGAATTGCCGTGTGGGGAAAGGAAATCGTTCTAGTGGAAACACTGATTCAGTGACATTGACACAAAGTATGTCATGAATTTGAAATTTCGTATGAAAATTTTGTAACTTTTCCTCACCCTAATTAATTCAGAAAATGTAACGTAGAAGAAACACAATACAAGCAATTAAATTTCATATCATGTTCTGCAGAAATGTTTGGTCGGCGGTGGAGTTGACGAAAAGTTGGTAAGCTTACCTCTAGAACTAACCTCTATTCATCATCTGATTGCAAAACAATAAAATCTTATTAGTTCATTTCGTTTAATATGCGATTATTATTAAATTACAATATCAAGGAATGCCACGACGACTGGGTTGCGTTTAAAAATGCCGTAAATTAGAAAATTATTTGGAATGAAATTAAGTAAACACTTATTAATCTAAGAGTAAACAACATGCAATGTTTCAGCAAGCCTGTGTTGCTGAACCAAGGCCGCATCTCCTTCGGTCATGCCCGCATTCAGTTCCGACATTCGTTCCAAAAAGCCAAGCGCAGTGTGCGGCGCGCGGCCCTGGAACCAGATCCACTTGAACACTTAAGGATTGAGTCCGGTCCTTTAAACGCAAAGGGCTTAGTAAGACCCTTCTTCTTTGCTGTTGGGGTGAGTAACAGTGCCTTATAATTTTCTACAAAATGTAATTTTAATCCTAATTTATAATTTAGTAAAATAACAGATGAATCAAAGACAGAAAGTTCAATTGCTACAACACAAATAGCTTTAAACTGGATTATGAATTACACAAATTGATGGTTTATTGATTATTGCATTGTAACACATTATTGCAGGTATCTGCTGCCAGTCTTGTGGGCTGTGTGATCTGGGAATATGAGAACTTGCGGGCACACTCAACGATTCTCAAGAGACCGGGGAACTGGCTGAGTGCCCAACAGAAGAAACTTATGACACATTTTGTGAGTATAATAGAGAAATATTAGCCTATAAAAATATTAACAATTGAGACTTTTAAAAAGAATTGAAAGTATCTACATGTATAGGCATCCTATTTACTTGCGCAACTGCAACAAAAATGTATAATCTGATGTGCTGTTTGTCCTACATTTTCCTACAACTAACTGAATAAATAAACATTACAGAAATCTGAGCCAGGCCCTATAAAGAAATGGTGGAACTCTCTAAGAGAAAGCGAGAAGGTGTTCTACCCTATCCTAGCTGCGAATGTACTGGTGTTTGGAGCCTGGCGGGTCAGGTCCCTCCAGCCGATCATGGTTAAATACTTCTGTTCAAATCCATCGGGCAGTAAGTATAATTATTGTACTTCATTCACTAATTTATACTATGAGGCAAGTGTGACAATTTGTCACTGACAAATATGATCAATCATACCTGTAAATAAATTATGTACATTTTTTTTCTTAAAATTATAAACCCATGAATAGTTATATTTTAGCAAATAAACTTTTGCCCATATTATGGGGAATAAAATAACTGGAATGTTTTGTATACTGTATTAATTTTTAGAGGAATTCAATTTTAATCATTTTCAGGTGCAATATGTTCACCAATGCTGTTGTCTACATTCAGTCACTATTCAGCCCTACACTTGGCTGCAAATATGTATGTCCTCTACAGCTTTATGCCAGGTAATTGAGTATCTATCCTATTTTGGCAACATTTATCACATTAGTTCTATAATATAAATACTAACAATTAAACCAAAGGTAGCACCCATTTAAGGCCTTCACTCAATAATCTTAAAAAATCTGGACAAGGCTTTTATTGAACCCTTTAAAATCCAATATTGCCCAAATCTATATAATAAAAGAAAGTCGTGTTAGTTACTTCGCTTATAACTCAAGAACGGCTGAACCGATTTAGCTGAAAATTGTCAGGGTACCTCCCTAGAGCCAGGAGAAGGACATAGGATACTTTTTATCCCGTTAGAAATAAAAAAAAGTCTGCTTATTTATTGCCATTAAGGCGGAACAAAGTTCGCCGGGTCAGCTAGTATTCCTATAAAACCCAATCGAGCTAACTGCGCATCTCGCTGGAATGCGACTCTCCCTCCCACTTGCTCGCTCACCTCCCCGCGTTCGTCCTGTCCGTACCAGAGCGTCGATGTGACGTCACGGCTGCCTGGTGCGCAGCTAACTCGACCAGAGCCCCGATTACGGTAATTTTTAACGTCAACAATCCAGACACGCTTCTCGATTCTGCGATACGATTGGTCGTTCAACAGCGTACGTCAGCTGTTTTGACCAATCGTATCGCAGGATCAGAAACGCGTCTGGATTGTAGACGTTATAAAAGTTACCGTAATCGGGGCTCTTGTTGTGAAATACTAACAGTAGAGTAGTAGAGTCTAATATGCTATCATATTTTTTTCAACAGCTGCAATAGCGTCATTGGGCAAGGAGCAGTTTGTGGCCATGTACTTGAGTGCTGGTGTCATCAGCAGTTTCTCCAGCTTCCTATACAAGGTGGTCTTCAATCAGCCTGGCCTTAGTCTCGGCGCGGTAAGAAATACCACTTATTAATTAATTTGTTCAGGAAAAATCCCAAAAATATGGTTGACACAAGCTGCGGCGACAAATTGTTGATACATTTACTGGAAGCTCAAACAAGAGTTGCTCAGTATTCGTCAATACTTTAAGAGATGTATAATTATAGATTATATAGCCCATTTTATTTCGTTCTGACGGACAGTACAGTAACAGATGGCGCTATGCGCATTTACTTCGCGCTAGTAGATATCGCATTGCATCCTAAGGACATGTTGTCTGAAGCTTGCTACAAACTGAAGTGTCGCAACATTACGGCTACTTATAGTCAGGCAATTTTATAAAAATGCATCTCAAGTAGGCTGATAATCCATAGGCCTCAATAGTCTGTTGATCTTTTGTCAGCTACCTACAATCTATTATCTACGCACACAACGACAATGCGTACCCAACCGGTCTGCGATCGCGGTCGAACGTCGAGTCTTTCGTCATCGTAGTGCGCACTCGCTAAAATAATGTTTTGTACAATATCTGAAAGTGTTGTGAATGCTTATACTAAAACGTTTGTTTTTATTTGTATAGAGAACAATAGTGTCTAGACAAACCTAAAGAGGATTTAGGACGCTATTTGGATCAAATATGTAATTGCTCAATAATGAATAATAAATCCCAACTAATATTATAAATGCGAAAGTAACTCTGTCTGTCTGTCTGTCTGTCTGTCTGTCTGTCTATCTGTTACGCTTTCCCGCTTAAACCTCGCAACCGATTTTGATGAAATTTGGCATAGAGATAGTTTGAGTCCCGGGAAAGAACATAGGATAGTTTTTATCCCGGTTTTTGAAACAGCGACGCGCGCGATAAAGTTTTTCTGTGACAGACAAAATTCCACGCGGGCGAAGCCGCGGGCGGAAAGCTAGTAAATAAATAATCCGATCGAGCTAACTGCGCACCTCGCTGGAATGAGACTAGCTCGCACTCGCACACCTTCCGCGTTCACCCCCGTCCGTACCAGAGCGTCGATGTGACGTCACGGCTGCCAGATGGGCAGTTAAGAGCGTTTACGCCGTTTGGCGCAAAAACAGTACTTTTTCAACTCGTTACAATCATTAACCAGTAATACTACAAATATGTTATAGGCATAAATAGTTAGGCAATTTCGTCGTCTAAATAGTTAATTGAGAAAATATTGCGATTAGTTTAGTATTTAAGAATTCTATCAAGATAAGTCCACACAGGTTTTGTAAATTTTCACTTTAGCGTCAGTTTACAAGCTGAAATTTTTATAAAAATACTGTGAAAACGATTTAACTAGATCCTTGGGCAAATAGTTATCTGAGAAAATTTTTAGATTTAAGCATTTTACAATAAGAAATCACAAATCAAAAGAACGTGAAATACCCAAAAATCAATGTGATTTTTTCACCAATATTCTTCCTTTATTCAACATAAAAATAGCTTAATATAATAAAACAACATCTTCTTTAAAATATTTACTTTGAAACGATATTTAATTCATTGTTATTGTTTTGCTATAAACATTTGAAAACTATTAAAAAACGCCGCGCGCGAATCATTTCCAATGATGCCCCTTGAAACGCCGCGCTTCGCGTAAACGCTCTTAACTCGACCGGGTTGTATTGTCAGTTCCTTCACCTCTTGTCTTCTCATAATTAATAAAAGTGTACTTTGTTTTCAGTCGGGAGCAATCATGTCGGTGCTGTCATACGTGTGCGTACAGTACCCCGACACCAGGCTTAGCATAATATTCCTGCCTATGTATACATTTGCTGCTGGCACAGTAAGTAGTTATTACCTATTCAATACACTCAGTAGTGGACATAGTCTTATTTCAAGTTTCAAGATATCTACGCAAAAAAATAATTATTTATTTTTGAAATTTTATTACAGGCCATAAAAGCTATAATGAGCGTGGACTTAGCTGGAGTACTCCTAGGATGGAAGTTCTTTGATCATGCAGCTCATCTTGGTGGAGCTCTGTTTGGAATGTAAGTATTGAATACCCCAATTGGTGCCGTGGTTTAACATAGTTTTTCGACTCGCGTATACCTACCAAATAATAATTATCACACTTTGCCCATTGTGCAAGAAGAGGAGACTTGATGTTATTATTTTTGTGAATATTGACAGTTTCTATTATTGTTGACAGAGCGTGGTGCCACTGGGGAGGCACTCACATTTGGGCGAACCGCGACAAGTTCCTACAGTATTACCACGCGCTCAGGAGAAGCGACACTGGGAGATAGTAAAATATGTTGTAAGAAAAGTGAAACAAATGTATCTATGACAAAACTATAAGACAGATTTCCAAAAGTTAAGCTATTTTTATCGCTGTTAGAAATATACCTTTTTAGCTTTATAAATGTTTTGTGATTTCATCGTTTGTCTTGTTTTTGAAATCCCTTCTTTCGTATGATGATCGCAATGAATAAAAAATGTACGATACATACATTTATTTTACTATAAATTAAAAAATCGAAGATAGGAAAAACGAAAAGCAAGAAATGCGTAAATAACTAAATTTTCACGCATTTTAAAGTCCTAAATAGCTAAATACTAAATAAAATAGTATAATATTCTTTAAAATATCTAGTCTACCATTAAATTTCCAAGCTTCAGAAGGGGATAACCATGATAAAATAAATAATTGGTGTCAAGAGGTTAAGATAGATTAAAAATCTAGTCCTGTTGTCTCCCCTAGCCAGGGGGGACAACAGGATATCGAAATCCTGTTGGCTCCCCTAGGGGGGCCAAGTTGGGGGGACAACAGGACTGCACCAAGATCATCATTACCTAACCATATTTTATCTAAATGCTACTTCATTCACATTAAACTTCAAAGTTAGGTATGTAATGAAAAGAAAAATATTTATAAACATAGTAATATTATTATCTCTTAATGTGACAAATATTATTTACAACAAAAATATACGTAAATACACTTTAAAATGCATGATTTGTAGATTAGTTGACCAAGTCAACTTTTTTCACAAGTGCGCGGCGGTTTTTTTAACTTTTGAGTATCTTTGCATGGAAATCAAAGTGTTCTCCGATGAATGAAGAGATGTAGTAGTAGGAATGATCGTAATCCTCTCGCAATTTGAGTATGACTGGCACATTAACAGAACGGCAAGCCTCCACCAAATTTTCAGGAAGCAGTTGTTTCTCAATGTAAAATTTGTCCCCAGCTCCCTGAAACATTACATTATGTTAATTGATAGGATACTAGTCATATATGTGTCAACGTGAAATTGTGAACTCTGTCAGTTTATAATATAACGCGTTAGATTGTAAACTAACAGTGGGTTAGGTTAGGTTAGATTGAAATTTAACTACGTCAGATTATAATCTGACGGAATTCACAATTTTACGGTGACATGTGTATAAAGTAAGTTATGTGAAATTTAAAAAAAATACCTGGTCTATGAGCAGAGTTAGTGGAGGACCGTTGTACTTCTTAACCAATTCTGTAGCATCCCACTCAACCCATTTACTCTTGTCTTCACCAAGATATCCAGAGAAAGCCTTCTCTCCCCAGGGACATTTAGTAGGATTACAAATTGGTGCAAATGCACTGACTGATTTGTAAAGGCCTGGGTTTCTTAGGGTAGATACAAGGGCACCATGACCTCCCATACTGGAATAATAAAATAAATTAGACTAAAAGTAAACACTAGATCAATCAATATTTGTGCAAACCGTTTGTTAGTCATATACCTACCTCGAAATCAAAAAATCCTTGTAGCTTTTCACCTATTCGCATTTCACCGTGATAGCGTTTTTTGTTGTAGCGTGTAATATCGGTAGTATATTTTGTTACTAGCATATATTTTTAACAGATTTTTACAACAGTAGCAAATTTTGATGTAGCATGTATTATCAATAGCCTATTTATTAAGCCTACAGGCAGGAAAGTAAATCTACTATGATTTTTTTATACAATTGTAATTAGCTTTTAAACTATTATGTTGCATTTTTTACTATAAAATTATCACTTCACGGGATTTATTGCAACAATATCTATTTTAACGGTAAATAATATTCAGTCTGCCCGCGACCATGACTCGTGCAACCGAGCCGAAACGTCGGGAGGGTAAATATTATTTACCGTTAAAATAGATATTGTTGCAATAAATCCCGTGAAGTGATAATTTTAATTGTAATTAGCGATCAAAAATTATACTACAAGAATAAAAATCTATTCAGAAATTTTGATATCGCGCCGAAATGCGAATAGGTGAAAAGCTACAAGGATTTTTTGATTTCGAGGTATACGACTAACTAACAAACGGTGCAAACATAATTTCCAATACCTATGTCCCATGATCCCAATTCTGTCTGGGTCCACAACATTGCTGAAAGCTATTTGTACGAGGTCATATAATTCAGTGTTCAAGTAACTGGCCATCTTGTAGTTGTTTGACCATGGCTCCTTGGTGGCATCAAGGTAGAAGCCAGCACTAACACCGAAATCCCATGATTCATCATCACCAGGCACCTTCACTCCCCTAGGAGATGTGTCGGGTCCCACAACAATAATTCCATGCTCAGCAGCATATCTGAAACATTAAGAAAATGGCAAGTAAGAAAAATTCTACTATGTAAATTACATACATTTTTTGGTAATTTTTATTTCTCTAGGCAAAATCCAACTACCAACAATCAACATAGACCTTTTGATATTAGACTTTAAATTCAAATCCAAGATATGGCATAAATAATAAATACAATTAACAATATAATTGGTAACAAACCAATGTACCTATAATACATAACAATAAAAATACATTATTTGATAAACATTGTTATGTAACATTACCCTACAATCTTATCTCTACTATTATTTTAAATTCTTGATTACTTTTATCTGCTTGATTTGTTACAAAATACATGATTGGTATAATGAGGATCAGTACTGTTGTAGAAAATTCAATAAAACTAGTATCTACGTTAATCTTTAAGACATAAGAAAGATATATCTTTTT